TTGCACTGGAGCCTTTTCTGCTTATTACACTGCACAGATGATGCACTATATAGACTATATAAAGCAGCACTTGCACACTTTCCTTATCAGCTCTTGCGGTTTAGCCTGCTCATATTTGGTCTGGATGTGTTTAAAATAGCATTAGAGAGCACTCAGCTTCTCCTCCGCAACAACATACAGACTTCAAGTGTTTCGCATCCCTTTTTTGAGAGATTTTCCACAAAGAATAGAAGCCCTAATGCAACAGCTCCGCGAGTCACATGCTGTTCTGACTGCAGGCTCTCTTCATTGACCTCCTTTTATCAGCTGCACAGAGAAACACTGACTTTGGCCTCAGTTAGAAGGCCGAGTGAGGACCGTCCGGCAGCAGCGGGGAATAATGTGCTGTTGTCTGCTTCAAAAAAGCAAAAGATTTGACTGGGCAGCTTTTATAATTAAATAATTCTGGCTGCTGTTTACATAAGTGTTCAGTTGAGGAGCTATTTTTGTTCCAGATGGAGCTTTGGAGCTTCTTGTTTTGCGAAAAAGACACACCAGATGACAGACATGAGACTGTTCAGCATGCAAACAGGCCTCGGAGTCTAGAGGTCAGCCACAGTGAATTCTGTCACAGCTGCTTGTGAAGAAGTAACCAGTGTCAGAAGCCAAAGTTCAAATCCATTGGTTCCTTTTTTTATTATATCAATCAACGTGAGTGTTTTACAGGAGTGTCTAAAACTGTGAACACCGATGTTAAAACTGAGAAAATACGGTCTTTATTTATTGTTCGGGATTTCACAATTTGGTAAAAATGTCACTACGTTTTTAAATGTTCAGGGTTTAAAGCACATTAACGGAATAAAATAAAAAAAAAGAAAATGATTCTTTTTCCTCTTGAATCGACTGCTATTGGCCAAAATATCAGAAACAGCTTCCATGTAAGAAAAGGGCAGGCTGTTTCCGATATTATGGCCAAGTCTTCAGCCGCCATATACTGGACAACACTAATTGCTTAAGGTGAAAGAAAAGCAACCATAATGGGATAAACATGAGCCGCAACAACAAGTCGTACACAATATTGCATTTTCGACACTCTTTCCTCTCGAGAGAATATAAATAAAAAAGCCTAAATCAGCTTCCTGGCATTTTGAAGAGCAACATTTCCTCCTGCACAGTATTTAAAAGTCCGATCATGTTGTTTTGGCACAGGGACTGAGAGTTTGACACACAGTCGTACAATTAAATCAGTAAAAAAAAAGTCCTTATTTCACCCAATCAGCTTCACTGATGTTAAAGGAATACTCCGGCACTTCTTCAGCCTAGTCTCCATCTGCTGTGTCTGTAGCGCACGGTCGAACAGCACAGACAGCAGCTTCAACACATTTTCCTGAACTTAGAAAAGAGCAAAACTCCAAATACAAAGCTCTAAAATAATAGAAGTCAATGGGCAGATGCTTCACATGTGTTAGAGCAGGAAAAAAAAACACTAAAACAAAAAACTGACTTGTAAGAGCGATTTACATAAACGGACAACACATAACATAAATACTAAACAAATAAATACACAGTAATTAAAAAATAACACAAAATACACATATCCACAGTATATAAACAAAATGTGCAGCGTATTCATAACAATGTAGATCAACAACATATGATTTATGATACAGTCGTATGCAAATGTTTGTACGCACATCAAATATGGGATCTTTTAGCAGATTTTAGTGCACAGTTTCTATTTATTTTAACATATTGCAAGAAAAAAAGCACATAAAACATAAAAAGGGCTATAAATTTTGCACTGGCCACATTTTATGTTTTATTTTTCCTCCCCAGTGTGTTAAATTCAGCAAATAAACAGTCATTGTGTATTAAAATGTGCATAAGTGTGTCTCTGTATAGGATGTGTAACTTATTTACACACGTTATTTGACAGGGCGCACAAACTTTTGCACACAATTGTATAGAACATCATTTACAAGATTCCAGTGTCTGTGTTTAAACTAGAACGGCCAAAAAATGTTCATGTGAATCGCTGTTAGCTTAGCGCTAATGTACTACTAGAATCCCACAGGGATGCTAACACAAGTTAGCATTAATTATCATAGAGATGATTTTTTACTTGTTTTTTAAAGTGAGTTTTGACACTTCTGGCCCGAACTGAAGGCCTAACTCTGATAAACATGCTTTGCCACTGATTTCTGCACAGTTTTGCTGTTTTTTTTGTCTTTTATTAACAGTAAATAAGGGGGCAGGTGGGGGGCTGAGGGCCTTTATTTCATTTATTAAGTCAGTACATATTCAATGGCTCTGATTTTTCTATCTACAGTGGACTGGCCCCAGGTTTTGAGCCCCCTCAAGACCCCACCAGGCCCCTGGCGATCAGAGGCTCCTGGCTACTGGGCCGGTCAGTCATCCATCCCTGAATACTGAGTGCAGTCAGCATCTGCCCACTGGCTTCCACTATAAAGCCAGTGTATTTTGAGCGAGCTGGTTTTCTGATATGTTTAAGTTGAGGGAAACACTTATGAGATGTTATTATCCTCAGTGATCAACTGTGATTCCGGCTGCATCAATGAATCCAGTTCATGTCTGTTATGTTCTGAGTTAAAAACCTTTTCTGTATTTTTATGTGGATAAACTGTAGTGTATCTTTTTGAAAGTGTCGGCCTCATAAACACGGATTTGTGGGCTTGTTATTGAACCATCTTGCTGAGTTGCAAAAGAGCTGTTAGATATCAATTATTATACAGCTGTCAATTACAGTTTAAAACTATAATTAAATCCAAAATTTGTTTTGTTTAGTTAATGTCAGCAACAATGCAAAGAAAAATCACTGATCTACACTGGAGTCGTTTACTTCTTCATTGAACTATGATCGTTTGTTGACTTATGCCATAACAGTTATTAATTGTCCTTCTTTTTTCTTCTTAATAATCACCATATTTATCATTATTGGCGTATTTTGCTAAAATATTTATAATGCAGATCAGAATTTCAGTGACATAATGGAAAAAATTGTGATAAATAATTGAGAAAAACAAAAAAGTAAATAACTTTTAAGTAAGAAACTTTTAACTTGAAATGTTGAGTTCATTAAACTTAAATTAATAAGTTAACAAATGTAAAACACATTATTCTTTTGTTAACTTAATATTACAAAATTTAAAGTTTTCAAATTTCAAAGTTAACCTGGTTACACAACCCCATTTGCAAAAAAGTTGGGATGCTGTGCAAACTGTAAATAAAAAACAAAGTTAAATAATGAGCAAATCATTTAAATCCTATATTTCATTGAAAATACTACAAAGAAAACATATCAAATGTTGAAACTGAGAAATTTGATTGTTTTTTGAAAAATATATGCATATTTTGAATTTGATGCCAACAACACATTCCAAAAAAGTTGGGACGGGGGCCTGTTTACCACTGTGCTTCATCACCTCTTCTTTAACAACACTCTGTAAGTGTTTGGGAACTGAGGAGACACTGCTGTAGTTCTGAAAGAGAAATGTTTTCCTGTTCTTGATACAGGATTTCAGCTGATCATCAGTTCAGGGTCTCCTTTGTCGTATTTTTCATTTCATAATGCGCCAAATGTTTTCAGTGGTGACAGATCTGGACTGCAGGCAGGTCAGTTTAGCACCTGGACTCTTAATACGGAGCAATGCTGCTGTAATACATGCAGAATGTGGTTTAACATCGTCTTGCTGAAATAATCAAGGCCTTACCTGAAAAAGACGTCGTCTGGATGGCAGCATATGTTGCCAAAACATGTATATATCATTCAGCATTAATGGTGCCTTCACAGATGTGCATGTCACCCATGCCATGTGCACTAATGCTCCCCTACACCATCATGAACACTGGCTTTTGAACTGTGCTCTGATAACAAGCTGAGTGGTCTTTAGTCTGGAGGACACAGTGTCCATGATTTCCAAAAAGAATCTCAAATGTTGATTTGTCAGACCACAGGACACTTTTCCACTTCCCCTCAGTCCATTTTAAATGAGCTCAGGCCCAGAGAAGGTGGCAGCATTTCTGTGTCCTGTTTATATATGGTTTCTTCTTTGCGTTTTACAGTTTTAATTAGCATTTGTGGATGCAGTGATAAACTGTTTTCACAGACAGTGGTTTTCAGAAGTGTGTCTGAGCCCATGCAGTGATTTCCACTACAGAATCTTTTAATGATATTATGTACCGTAGATGATGAAAAGCAGAAGTTCTTTGCTATTTTATGTTGAGAAACGTTCTTCTTGAATTGTTGCACTATTTGATTGTGCAGTCTTTCACAGAGTGGTGAACCCTCCTCATCTTTATTTCTGAAAGACTCCGCCTCTCTGAGACCCTCTCTTTATACCCAATCATGTTACTGACCTGCTGCCAATTAACCACCAGGTGCTTTTTAAGCATTACACAACTTTACCAGCCTTTTGTTGCCCCATCCCAACTTTTTTAGAACGTGTTGTTGGCATCAAATTAAAAATGGGCAAATATTTTTCAAAAAACAATAAAATTTCTCAGTTTCAACACCTGATTTGTTGTCTTTCTACTATTTTCAATGAAATATAGGGTTTAAATGATTTGCACTTCATTGCATTTTGTTTTTATTTACATTTTTCACAGCGTCCCAACTTTTTTGGAAATGGGGCTGTAATTTGAAATTTAAATGCTGCATGTTTGTACTGAATGTTGTACTACATTGTGTACTGAATATGGATGAAACATCCACTATTTGCTTTTGTGTTTTAATATTGACATATAAAGTTTGACATATTGACATGGTGAGGGAACTGTAGGTGTCAACTGTTTGTTTACATAGTTTTACGTTATCATTGTTGTATGAATACTTTAGTCTCCTGGTGCTGTTTCAGTTATGTTGCCAATCATAAAAAATAATCAGTTAAGCTTTTATATCATTAGAAGGAAAAACGGTGAGTTCTTTATGGTTTCTGTACCTCTCTCACCTTTCATGGTCCTGATAAAAGTCCTTTTACTTTTCTGTAAATGTGATTGGAAGATTTATGTTAAAAACACTGCAAAGGCAGCAATAATGCTTGTATTTTCACTTGCTGAATAAATCACTGTGTATAATGTTAATTATTTCATGCTGGTTACTGATTACTGCACTTTTTCTGTTCCTGATGAATCGATTATGGAGTGACCGTTAGCCGCAGCTCTGGACCGTGCGCTGCAGATGTGGCAGATGGAGATCAGCTGGAAAATCGCTCTAAGTACCTGCCCTGTATCTACTGCGAGAGTGTTTATGTAAGATAAGCTGTTGGGAAAAATACATAACAAATAAACCAAGTGAGAGAACAGAATGAGAGCGCACAGACTTCTGGGACAAAAAGAAAACAAACTACAGCTGTCGTCATCTTCTCGCTTCGTCTCCAGTTTTGAAGGGTAGCACAGATGCGAGCGGTTTCGCTAATTAGCGTAGACGCTAGGTCATGATGTTCCTGTTGATGTCATAAGACAGCCGTCGTTTAGCGTTAGCCGCTAGCTGCTGGTTGGACGAGGGCAGGTTGGGTGAGAACCTGGCGGTGGCCTGCTTACGGCCACTTGCACGCTCCTAAAGGCACAGAACGACAATGACAACAACAATAATGATAATAATAATAATAATAATAATAATAGTAATAATAATATTAATTTCACATACAGCACTGTGCACAAGTCAGAGAGCACCTTCATTCAATTTCCAGTGAAAATAGCCATAAGTAGAACCACAAGTTCTACAAAAAAGCATTTCATGCTTAAAGGGCTCTTTGCATGGTGAAATGGTTCTTCAGACTGATGGAGAATGTGCTGTATATGGGTTTATATAGATCAGGCATAACATTATGACCACCCCCTTGTTTCTACACTCCACTTACTATATAGGTGCACTTTGTAGTTCTACAGTTACAGACTGTAGTCCATCTGTTTCTCTGATACTTTGTTAGCCCCCTTTTACCCTGTTCTTCAGTGGTCAGGACCCCCATGGACCCTCACAGAGCAGGTACTATTTGGGTGGTGGGTCATTCTCAGCACTGCAGTAACACTGACGTGGTGGTGGTGTGTTAGTGTCTGTTGCGCTGGTACGAGTGGATCAGACACAGCAGTGCTGCTGGAGTTTTTAAACACCTCACTGTCGCTGCTGGACTGAGAATAGTCCACCAACCAAAAATATCCAGCCAACAGCGTCCTGTGGGCAGCGTCCTGTGGGCAGCGTCCTGTGGGCACTGATGAAGAACTATAGGATGATTAGCTCATACTGTGCAGCAGCAGATGAGCTATCGTCTCTGACTTTACATCTACAAGGTGGACTGACAAGGTAGGAGTGTCTAATACAGTGGACAGTGAGTGGACACAGTGTTTAAAAACTCCAACAGCACTGCTGTGACTGCTGCTAACAAAGTATCAGAGAAACAGATGGACTACAGTAACTGTAGAACTACAAAGTGCACCTATATAGTAAGTGGAGCTGATAAAATGGACAATGAGCGTAGAAACAAGGTCATAATGTTATGCCTGATCGGTGTATACAACACATTCTCCATCAATCTGAAGAACAATTGCACCATGCACCACCTACATAGAACCACTGACTTTACAAAATAACCTTTGAAGAACCCTTATTTTAAATGATTGTAGAATTACAGTATAATTTTTTTTGACAGTTTAAAGTGTTAAAATATTAAAAACAGTAGATAATCGTACTAAATTCTAGTTATTTTGTTTGAAAAATATGTCTCAGTATCTCAGAGCACATTAATAAACATCAGGCCCGTATCAAAGCCAGTATCTGTATGATGTAATGGATGTAATGTAACTCTGAGCTATTAATGCAGTTTAGTTTCATTAATCATATTTGCTCTTTCAAAAGTAAACAACTTACAGAGCTGACTGCGCCCAAGTGCAGTGACTGGAGGAGGAGCTTACGGCTCAGAGACTCCGCCCGCTTATATTTCACATCAATCATCCGGTCCAGATCCTGAAGGCCGTCCAATAAGTTCTGGCTCCTTTAAGCGAAACGCAATGATTGACACTGAGAGCGTGTAACTGCTGGACAAAGACTCACTTCACCACTGAATCAACACTGACCGATGGGTGAAACAGTGAATTTAATGGAGCTCCTCTGAGCTTCAAGACAGCCAAATCATTGTTCTCACGCACAGTCACCTGATACAAAGCTGCAATCTCATACATTACCACAAGAGGGCAGTATAAGATCAGCAGGGTGAAACCTGTCTAAAATGTGCTTTTAAAGGGAAATTTCACCCATTTTTTAAAATTATTCCTCCATAACTCACTGTGTGAGATGTAATCAGAGTGATTCAGAGTGGTTTGGTGTGAAATGGTTCAGATGTCTCTACAGTGGTGGTGATAGGAACCAGGGGTCGCCATGACTACAACACAAATATAGACATTTTATTTACTATCCAGAACCACCAGTGGAGTATGGAGCCCTGAAGGGACAAAAATTATGTTTTTTTTCGTAATGGGTAAAAAAATAACCTACTGCTTGTGAAACGACCTGAGATTTATTTTGAGATAACTTTCTTCGGATAATTGTCTGGACATTTCCTTTTTGGCACGTAGGTTATTCTCTAAACACTTTGCATTGCATGCATCCACCTGTAGCAATAAACTGCAGCTTTATTCTTGAATAAAAACCAATACCTTGGATATGTTTGTGTATCTCTGCATTTTAAAACACGTTTCAAACGGCCCTCTGATAGAATATAATGAGATATATAATGATGTCTGTTGGCGAGCACTGAAACCATGTCTTTGTATTTGAAACAAAGTTTAAAATAAAGTGATATATAGTGGTTCATTTACATTAGAATAGCTCCAATCATGGATACACAACTTCCAGCACCCCTGAAAAATGGACAGTGGACTTAGGGAGATAATGATATGTTGCCTGAATGGCATATTGGTGCCATCTACAGGGCAGAGTGAGTATTGCGCTTGAGTTTTCCTTACATATCTCAAGAAAATTATTCCAAAAAAAAATATTTTGAGGTAAATATCTTGTGGTAATTATACAGAGAAAACTATACTGAGAAAATCTTGAAATATTAACTAAGTTGAGAAAAAAAGAAAATCTCAGGTCTTTTAACAGGCAAAAAATCTTTTACCTATTATAGCAAAACGTCATTTTGTTTCCATGTCCTTTCAGGGGCTCTGTAGCGACGTCACATGTGTCTTCTGAGTTTTTATATGGAATATTGATTCTAAAATAGTGGCAAAAAAATATAAATAAATCAGTTTTCTTATTTTAAAATAAGACTATTTTGCCCCTGCATGTATCCCTCCACCATGAATGGAGTTTAAGTTCTCTAAACTATCATAAAACAGTGTCTCAGTCATCAGGCAGTGAATTCATAACCATTTCATGTAGTAACTTTCTGTGAGGGAGCTTTTAGAGGTGGACGTCTGGTTCCTATCACCACCACTGTGAACAGTTCTGACTCTGTAAGTTTATCTAGAACAGAGCGTTTCGCACCAAACCACTCTGAACCGCTCTGAACCGCTCTGATTACATCTTAACCACTTAATTATGCAGAAAGTTTGGTGGAAGCTTCCATTTACTGTTTAGCTCTGTTCGCCTCGTAGCTCCAGTGCTAAAACCAAAGAGGCAAACTTCAGACACCAAACACATCTTGGCATTTTGGCAGATCAACTACATTTGAGGGAGGTTGTGGGTGAATTCGATTTTTTTTGCCAAACCTTTGCTGTAAGCGCTAAACCAAGGTAATATACAGAATGTGGGGGGACGTACTGAGGTTTTGCGGCTCTGTTGTTTTCAGCAGGTCTCTGCAGAAGCTCCTTCAGTGTTGGAACACAGTCAGTTTCTCCACAGGTGGAGTCCACGGAGGGGAACGCCTCTAAAAACACTCGGGACTGCACACAAACACAGATATAACACGTCATCCATCTCCAAAGTGGTCAACAATAAACAAGAAATAATTAGCTAGCATGTAAACTCTTAAAAATAAAGGTGCCACAAAGGGTTCTTTGTGCCGGAGGGGAACCCTCAGGTTTATGTAGAACTCCAGAAATTCCCTAATGAATTCTGTGAAATAAAAAAAAACATCTGTAATTTTTAGACTTTAACTTTAACTCATATTTAAACTCTGTAAGCACTGTAGTAATACTCTTATTTCATTGTTATATTTTGGTTGGAAACAAAAGGGTTACAATGTTGAAATGCCCAATGGAAAATTATCCAATCAGGATTGTTTTTTCTGTATCTAGGTAGATACAGCTGAGCAAGCTCTCCTATTGGTTAGGACCTCTGGAGCTGGACTGAAGGCCTTACATGTTAGATTAACTACCGACATAATTAGTGACAAAGGAACCAACTAATTGTGTTTTGATTGACAATTTTGAGCGTAAAAATGTCATTCTAGGCTTTCTGAAAGTTCTAGATACGTCACTGAATATAGAATGTAGTCTAAGCAGGTTCCGGTTAGTTGTTAGGAATGGAAAACAGTGGCGGCAGCTCTGTGCCAGAACTCTTTACTGAAAGAGTGACTGTAAAACTGATACATACAAGCTCAGATATATGATAATGTCTTTTACAATCTACGAATATCTGTGCTTAATCAAACCAAATGTATATGTGCACCAGCATTAGCTTAGTGCTAACATACTAGGGTCATTCTACATTCTACGTCCATTTTTGTGTCCATAGCATTTGCAGATATATTACACTTGAAAAACATGTTAGGGTTACAATTTATTTATATTTTAAAATAAAACAATAAGTTATTTTAACAATTACACCTTCTTGAGCCTCAATTTTGCAATATTGGTTTTTAAATCAATCATCTAGAATTCCAGGCAGTACAGAGGAGCTCGTCCCCACAGTCATGTGTAAAGGCTGAGGCCATATTCTGAAGAAAAAAACATGTCTTTCTGAAATTTTAACTACAATAATCTATACATGACTATGGAATATATGATTTAAATTAAATAAAGAAAATAAATGACAAATAAATATTATAAAATATATAATGAAAGTTGTCCCCAGGAGTCGTGTCACTGGTGTTACTGCGTAACAAAAAATCTCTTATTTTGAAATAAAAGTCACACTGATGACATCACTCGACTTCCTTTTACCTGTTTTCTGAGGATCTATGAAGAAAAGCTCATGGTGAGTCCACTGTGTCTTTCAGTTATCAGAGATTTTCTCATTTAGCTCATGATTTCATATAAAGCTTTTAGCTGAAGTCACTGGTGTGACCGACTTTATTCTGAGGTAACTGTGAAAAAATAGAATACAAATGGATTAAATTCCATATTTTAGTGGATATTCCATGATTGACAACATGTGGTTTGATGCTCTGTAGCAGCCGTTTTGTAAAATGCATTGTTCATTAAAATGTCTCTGGTGTTCCTTTATTATGTGGAACACCAATGAGAATCAGTAACACCAGTGACTCCTATGGAGAGACAGGAAAGTGGACGTTTCTGTAGAATGAACCATTATTAAAATCCCTTAGGGGCGCTAGCGAGAATCAGCATTATTGTAGAGTTTTGTTTTTTTTTTGCTAGTTTCCCAAGACAATACTGTCACTAATACTATCATACTGCCGTATGATACTGTTTTACTTCTAAATAAACCTAATTAGCTTTAATATGACAAATAATAATAATTAATAATCATAATAATAATCTGACATAGAAAACATGTTGAAAAGCTGGGTGTTTTCATGTTTTCAGTCATACCACATTATTCAGAGACGACAGTGTGAGGTCTGAGTTCTCCACTGCGGTCGAGCTCCACCATTGGCCGGCTGGCGCTATCTCTGACTCCGCCCCTCTGCTGTCATCCTCCTGCTTAAAGGTGGCCCACGAGTCATCTGATTGGTGGAACGACTGGACTCCAGTCCAATCAGACGTCCAGGACATGGGCTCATTTGCATCAGTAGAGGTTCTATGTCCTGTTGGTATCAACACAGTTTTTTTTTTTCTAAAAATTTAATACACTAAAGGAACAGTTCCACATAAAACCCCTAAATATAGATCAGCCAAGGCATGTTTGATGCTTCTTTAGTTTTAGGCAAGGCAAGTTTATTTATAGAGCACCTTTCAAACACCGCTGTCATTCAAAGTGCTTTATAGATGAGAAAATACAGAGTCAGAGTTGTTTTAAAAAAGTAAACGCGAAAAGAAAAACATTATTAAAAACAACATTAAAAACAATTAAAACATGATTAAAGCAATGAATTTAAAAGAGAAAATCATTAAATTAAAAATCAAATTAGACATTCAATTAGGATAGTTAAATAATCAAATTAAAAACTAAAAGTTAGATTAGGATTACAAAAAAGTGCCGTTACAGAGGAAAAGGGTCTAGAAACACTAACAGTGTTTAAACTGAGCTGAAAGCTGCTCAAACAGGATCGTTTTCAGGCTGGTTTAAAGTGTCCAGTGTCGGCTCTTCTAATGCTCTCTGTCCACTGGGTCCACTTAAGAGCAGCATAGTATCTAAACGCTGCTTCTCCATGTTTAGTTTTCACCTTCAGCAGAACTGACTGACCAGTTCCTAATGATCTGAGAGTTCTGCTCGGCTCATATCGCTGCAGCAGGTCAGATAAATACACTGCTCCTGACCATTAAGACGTTTATAGAGCAGTAACAGCTCCATAAAGCCTATTCTGAACAGACTGGTAACCAGTGTAAGGGTTTAAGAATGGGGGGTGTTCCTTCTCTTAGGACTGTCTTTTTTGGGAGTCCAGTTTAGCACTGGAGCTATGAGGCTTATGCAGCTAACAAGCGATGGAGGTCTACAGCCCTCCAATTAGCATAGTGCTAACTGCATGTCTAAATCATCAGACCATGTGGAGGTGTTCATTAATATCTAATAAACTTGATTATGTGGTTTCTGATGACTCACTCTTATACAACTCCATCTCCAAAAAAGTTGGGACGCTGGGCAAAATGTAAATAAAAATAGAATACAATAATATGCAAATCATGTAAATCATATTTTTAAAGGAAAATAGTACAAAGACAACAAATCAAATGTTGAAACTGAGAAATTGTTTTTTGAAAAAATGTATGCCCATGTTGAATTTGATGCTAACAACATGATCCAAAAAAGTTGGGACGGGGGCCTGTTTACCACTGAGTTTCATCACCTCTTCTTTTAACAACACTCTGTAAGTGTTTGGGAACTGAGGAGACACTGCTGTAGATTAGAAAGTGAAATGTTTCCTGTTCTTGTTTGATACAGGATTTCAGCTGCTCAACAGTGCATTTGTTGTATTTTTCATTTGATAATGTGCAAAATGTAATCAGTGGTGACAGGTCTGGACTGCAGGCATGTCAGTTTAGCGTACAGGACACTTTTCCACTTCGCCTCAGTCCATTTTGAATAAGCTTGGGCCCAGAGAAGGCGGCAGCGTTTATGGTTTCCTCTTTGCATTTTACAGTTTTAACTTGCATTTGTGGACGCAGTGATGAACTGTTTTCACAGCCAGTGGTTTTCAGAAGTGCTTCTGAGCCCATGCAGTGATTTCCACTACAGAATCATGTCTGTTTTTAATGCAGTGCTGCCTGAGGGCCCAAAGATCACAGCCAGCAAATACTGGTTTTTGGCCTTGTCCCTTACATACAGAGATTTCTCCAGATTCTCTGAATCCTTTAATGATATTCTGTACCGTAGATGATGAAAAGCAGAAGTTCTTTGCTATTTTATGTTGAGAAACGTTATTCTTGAATTGTTGCACTATTTGATGGTGCAGTCTTTCAGAGTGGAGGTTTTGATCTGAAACGTATTTTTAAAATTCATCCATTCATGGTGGAGGGATATATGCAGGGTGTATTGGGGCAAAATAGTCCCAGAAGAAAACTTATTTCAGATTTTCCACTATTTTCCATCATCAACATTCCATATAGACTCAGAAGACTCGTGTAGGTTCACTGGTGATTTTGGATAGTAAATAAAATGTTTATATTTGTGTTGTAGTCATGGCGACCCCTGGTTCCTGTCACCACCACTGTAAAGAAATTTTTGTTTGAAAAATCATCAATCAATTCCCCTGTAAAGCTTTCATCTTTGAGATTGTCTGGGATTACCAGAATTGTAAAGAAGCAGAAAATGTTAAACCAGCTTCTGAGACTGAACTTTGGAGGTGTGTCTGCAGATTCTTTGAGGAACTGAAAGTGAGTCTCCTGAAAAGAATGGAGGCTGGAATAAAGGTAAAGAGTGACTCACTGACTCAGACAGCTGAGATTAGAGTTAGCTGTTGAGGCTTCTGTGTCATTTTCTGTTAAATATAAATTCTGATTATTTATGAAATTAAATAAAATGGCATCTAACTTGTGCACAGTACTGCAAGTGCAATTATTATTATTATTGGTATTATTATTGTTGCTGTTATTATTACTATCGTTGTTGTTGCTCTGTCCCTCAGGAGTGTGTGAGCGGCTGTAACTAGGCCACTGCCAGGTACTTCATGGCTTTTTTTGACTGAAAATTAAATAAATGAAGGGACTTTTGCTCAGGAATGTATGTACACATTCAACATTCGACCTCTTCAGATCAAACATACTGCACTGTCTTTAATGATCTGTATTTTCATAATTTTATAAACAGCTGTTTGCATGTTATAATGGTTCTGCTTTGATGTCCATCATCATAAATAAAGTATGAAATGGTTTCTGCCAGCGTCCCATTTTCATTAATGATCTACTTTGATGACCTGATTTCAAAAGTGAGCAAAAACAGGCTGTTTTTGTTTACTACCTGCTCGCGCTACCTGCATTACTGCTAATCCCGGATTAACACAAAGTGGAATTCAGCGGATTACGAAATCTGCGGCTAAACGAGCAATAAAAACAACCGCAGAAATAAAGAACGAGCTGAGAAGCAGCTCTGAGCCTGATGTGTTTAGGACTGTGGAGGAAACGGTTAGTCACTCTGCCCACCTGTTACCTTTCAGATGAGTCAGCTCTGCTTGTGGACCGTTTATAATGACCTGTTAATATTGTAGGACCAAGAAAAAAGAAAAAAAGTGCCTCCACCAACTACAGATGAAGTGCAACCAATAACGTAATAGTAGTAAAGACATTTTGTCACTAGGGTTGCCAGAGTTGTGGCAAAACAGACATTATTCTTATATTTAATGTTTTCCCTGGGGTCCAGTTATAACACTTGTGTGATTTCATGTACCAACACAGTCATAATTCATATTTCATGACCGTTTTCCAAGCTCTGTATATCCCTTACAATTACACAGGCTGTTTCTGTTACTGTGCCTTTAAGACTGATAAATGTAAATGAGCTCTGATAGGCTGTGCCTTGTTCTAAGAGCTGCCCAGGCTGAAACGCTCCTTATAACTTCAGCATAAATGGGTGGGGCTAACTGGTGTAGGCTGAATGGGTGGATATACTTAAATGTGTTGGTTTTTGTGACATCACAAAAATACTGGATTAAAACCTGCTTTCTTTTTGCAGCTTAGTTTATATACAGTATCACTGCTGTCACGAAAAAAAAAACTTGTATCTCCATTTTTGTCATTTTTCAGTTTTTCACATAATTTGAAAGCACCTGTGGTCCTTTACATTGTGGATAAATTTCATGATGAACGGACCAAAAGAAATGACCCAAAATTACTTGGAAAAAGATCTGGTTCCATTGACTTACATTAAAAGTAGAGTATGTTTTTTGTGCCTCCTGTAAAGTTACCGTTTTGGAGGTTTTGATCCGACATGTACTAGGTGTCACGCATCCCTCTGACCCAGTTTTCGCTAAGAACTCGATTTCCCAGAATCCTCTGGAAGAGCACATAACTGGCAGACCTCACTCCTCCATGGACTCAATCTCCCAGGACTCCCTGGACCTGACAGTCACACCACCAGCGCCAACCAATCACTGCTCTTCCTCGCCTGAGTATTGATGTGTAGCACCTGTGTCTGAGTATAGTTACCTGTTTAGTTAGTATATAATCCTGGGCTTTTATCTTAGTTCATTGTGGAGTGTTCTTTTAATAGAGCTACTGAGCGGTACTTCTTGTTTTGTTCTATCGTGTACCGAAACTGCTTCCAGTATTTTTGAACTGTGCCTTTTGTCTTTGCCCTTTCGGATTGTTTGCTTGGATTATCTCTGTTTTATTTATTCTGGTTTTGACCTTGGCCTGTTTTTCGACTATGCCTCTCTTGGACCCCAGTAAAGTTTATTTTAATTACACTGAATACTTGAATGATTCAAAAATAATTTTACATAAAAACAAACTGTTTCATAGAAAACAACAGACCACATTAGCTGCAGATCACTGTTAAACCTCTTTAAATGCCCCCGATGTCCCTGATAGCAAGAGGACAGTGGGCGACTGTCGGCCCGCTGATGACAAAGCTGGTGGTCCACCGGCATTTTGCTCAGTGTTTTCCGGGTGCTCCACCAGTGGTTAAGCAGAGTATTAGACAAAATTCCACTGATCATCTCTCATTTTCCACTCACAGTCCAGTTTACTGATTTTTCCTTCCTTCTTTTCTTCAGTTGTACTTTGTAAATTAGTTTAGTAAATAATTTTAATCCAGCTCAGTTTCAGCAACAACATTTTTCTATAAAATTAGTCTTTATCAGGCCTAGTCAATATTTATTTCTGTTAGTTGTTTATAATATTTGTCTTAGTTTAATTTCTAAAATAAAAGTCTCTGTGCATTTAAAATCTGTTTGAGGAGATTAAAAATGTGTTATGCAGGACAGTAATCTGGGTGGTCCGAGGGGGAACTAGCAGTGGCAAACAGTCAGTGGGCTGCCGACCTTATCAAGCCAGTGGACTGATATATGCTCGCTGTCTGGTGTACGGTAGGTCTTTTAAAATTGCCCATTCGCTTGAATTGGACACCTGGCTTTTTTATTGTGGCACTGTCCCACTAATTACTGTTGGGGAGGGGGTGGGAGCACACATTATGTTGCGGTGCATGCTGGGAACTGTAGTGCAGCTCATGGTGAAATGGGCTAATATTAATAGAACATTAAAATAATTTTGCGGGTCGAATAGGATTGTGCCACGAGTCTGACTCGGCCCGCTGGCCTTGTGTTTGACACATGGGGAGTGAACAGTCCTATTTGAATCTTCACAATGTTTACATCAAACTACATAAAAACTACATCAAACTCTTTTATTTAAAAAAGTTAGGAAAATTGGATTTTGCAGGACACAGACCCTTTAAACTGCAAAGTAATAGCAGAAACTACAACATTTGAAGCTGAAATCCACCCATATATAAACAACTGCTTCAGAATACACTCTTAAAAACATGGTTCTTCAAGTGTTCTTTAGTAAACACAACGGTTCTATTTAGAACCATTTGCATGCTTAAATGGTTCTTCATGTGTTGGTTCTATATAGCAACAAAGTCTCCTATTGTTATGATGTCATGGTTGTATACAATAAAAGATCCATTTTGGTGCTATATAGAACCATATACAGCACACTCCCCATCAATATGAAGAACGATTTCACCGTGTAGAGAACCATTTAAGCATGCAAATAGTTCTTTGAGTGTTCATGGTTGTATATAGAACCGTTGTCTTTACTAAAGAACCCTAAAAAAACACCTCTTTTAAGAGAGTAGATGGTTCCTTAAAGAATCTTTTTGAAAAGTGTTCTATATAGCACCAAAAATGGTTCTGCTATTGTTACGATGTCAAGCTTTTATACAATAAAAGAACCATTTTTGGTGCTATATAGAACCACATACAGCACATTCTCCATCAGTCTGAAGAACCATTTCACCATGCAAGAACCATTTTAGTATGCAAATAGTTCTTTGAGTGTGTGTATCGAACCACTGTCTTTACTACAGACATTTTAATGTCTGGTCAACAGTACCAACCGGACACCACAGCCTATAACCGGACTGTGTGGTCCAAAACCGAACACCTGGCAACCCTAACTGCCCCTCAGTAGGCTCTGAGGTCTCACCTGTTTCAGGTGAAAATGAAGAGAGAACCTGAGTGAGAGACTCGGACTGACGGAGCCGCTGGAAACTCTGTGAAATGTAAAATGAAGCGCTTTGCTCGTTTACTCTGAACATGATCGACTGTGTTCGCCCTGAATAAGAGTAAAGCCGTGGCTTCAGGCGGCACCGTGACGCTGGTCATCCCAGGACACGTTACTATGGAGATAACAAGGCAAGACCCCCCCCACATCATCCACACTATCCTCAGCCTCTTTAGCACTGCACCTAGCCTGAGGCTAACGGGCTGGTAGAGAGAGAGAGAGAGAGAGAGAGAGAGAGAGAGAGAGAGAGAGAGAGAGAGAGAGACAGAGAAGGAGAAAGAGAGACAGAGGGATGGAGAAAGATATCTAAAGACAGACAAGAAAAGAGAGGAGGGGGAGGAGAGAGTAAGAGACAGAGAAAGAGAGAAGAAAGGAGAAAGAGAGACATGTGGAGAGACAGCAAAAGAGAGAGGAATGGTGAAAGAGGGAAAGAGATGGAGATGGGCAAAGAAAGAGAGAGCTGAAGAGAGAAATGCTTGGAAAAAGATGGATATGGAAAGACATGAGAGTGAGAGAGATAGAGAAAGAGAGAGATGAGAGAGAGAGAGAGATATGGAAAAAGAACAAAGAAATATGGAAAGAGAGGGGAGCAAGTGAGAGCGATTGGGAGATAGAGAGAGGAGATAGAGAACGCAAGAGAAGAGAAAAAGAGAGAGACAGTGATAGAGATAGGGAGAGAGAGAAAGGGATATGGAAAGAAGGTGATAGATAAAGAGAGGAGGAAAGAGGAGAATGAAAAGATGAAGAGAGAGGGAGAGAGATGGGAAAGGGAAGTGGGGGAGATGGGGAAAAAAGAAAGAGAAAAACAGAAAGAGAAGTGAAGAGAGAGATGAGAAAAAAGTGAGTGAGAGTGACAGAGACAGAGACTGGGAAAGAGAGAGAGAGAGAGATATGGAAAAGAAAAAAGAGGGACAGAGACTGGGAAAGAGTGGAAGAATCAGAGGAAAGAGAGAGAGGGGGAGGGAAAGAGATGGAGGGAGAGATAGGGAAAAATAGAGCAAGAGAAAAGTGGAAGGAGAGAGATAGAAGAGAGAGAGGGAGATGAAAGAGAGAGAGACAGGGAGAAAGAGAGAGAAAGAGAGAGAGAGACAGAGAGAGAGAAAGAGAGAGAGGGAGAGAGACAGAGAGAGAGAGAGAGAGAAAGAGAGAGAGAGAGACAGAGAGAGAAAGAGAGAGTGAGAGTAAGAGAGAGAGAGAGAGAGAGAGAGACACAGAGAGAAAGAGAGAGAGAGAGAGAGCTGTATTTCCAGTGGCGTTTTAATAACGAGTACCTTCACGCGAGTTTGTTAGACTGTGTGAATCCAGGTCAGTTCAGACAGGCTGATTAATACAAGGCTCGGTGGGAGACGCGTCTGTCTGTCTGTCTGCTGCTGCTGAACTCCAAACAAAGGAAACACTCGTTCTCGGGCAGGAGTTACTGATACTGACCGACTTACTTCCTCTGAACATTCAGCCCAGATAACGGCTCTTTATAGACGTTAAGGAAAAACAGACTAAAGTTCTGTCAGATTCGCCCTCCACACCGTCCCTTTAACACGAGCAGGAACAGTTCTCTTCTACAAACTACTGCTAAAAGCTCATACTGGAACTGTTCTGGTCCAAAGGTGCTTTAAACACCTGAAAGGTTTGAGAGCTGATAACAACAAGGAGATAAAGTGGGCGTGGCCTCTGGCTATGTCTAAATGAACGTGTGTAGGCTTTCAATCACCATGCAAAGAACCTTTTAAGCATGCAAAAAGTTCTTTGTGTGTTCATGGTTCTGTATAGAACCACTGTCTTTACTAAAGAAACCTTGAAGAACCCTTCTCCTCTTTTTTTAAAATAAAAGAGTATGTAAACAAAACATACAATTCTCTTTCCAGTTCATATATTTAGCAAAAACAACCTGTTTTGAAATCACTGTTTTTGTGATGTCACAAAAACCTACACATTTACATATATCTGCATATTCAGCCTACAGCAGTTTAGCTCCACCCACTCACACTGACATGGCAAGGAGTGCTTCAGGCAAGACTGCTTATTGAAATTATGTGCAAAACAGACCAGCCAATCAAAACAGAGCTCATTTTCATATATCAGTCTTAAAGGCGCAGTAACAAAAACAGCCAGTTTGATTCTAAGGGATAAATAGAGGTTAGAAAATGGTCATGAAAAATGAATTATGACAGTGTTTGGAACATAAAACCATGTGTACATTATAAAAGTACAAAAAACAGGATGTACTTTACTCACCAATGCCATCGTGCATCCCAGAAGGCACTTGTTGGAGCTCGTTGAACTCTTCTGTCCATATCTGCTCCTCCCCGGCCTGCATGAAGACCCCAAACTCATCCTCCTCTTCGTCACCCACCTCCACAGGCCTTTCGTTCGTGGCCACTTTGCTCCAGCCCTGGCCTCTCTCCTGCTCTGACAGAAGCTGGGATTCCGGCTGAGGCCTTAAGCTCCTAAAGCCAGCCCCCACCTCCTCCTGCCTGCTGAGGGCTGGGGGGGCTGTTGCTATGGCTGTGGTGGAGTTGGAGGTGCTAGTGAAGGCTGGATTAAGTAGGCAGGCAGTGGCAACAACAGCAGAGGCTTTGGGAGAACCTTGTGATGGAGATTTAGTAAACCATTGTTCTTCACAAACACTGTTTACTTCCGTCTGCTGAGGAGGACAGCATTCCTCCAGTGGTCCTACATGACCCTGACAAGGATCCTCCCGAGGACTTCTGGCGTTGGCAATGTCCAAGGCTTCATCTTTCTCCATTTCTTCCGTGTAGATGACCACCTTAGACTGGCTTTTCTCGCTTTTAAGTGAGTCTTTGTCCATCCTGGCCTTGGATACATTCTCCACTCCTGCAGGATCATGACCTTGACAAGAATCCTCCTCTTGACTCTTGGTCCTAACTGCGTCCAAGGATTCATCACCATCTTTCTCCGTTTGAAGAGAATGGATGACCACCTCAGCCTGGCTATTCTCATTTTCCACTCCTGCAGGATTATGACCCTGACCAGGATCCTCTACTGGACTCCTGGTGCTGGTCATGTCCAAGGATTCATCACCATCTTTCTCCATTTCCTTAGACCGTATGACCACCTCAGGCTGGTTCTTCTCAATTTTAAGTGAGTCTTTGACTATTATGGCCTTGGATCCATTGTCCATTCCTGCAAGGTTTTGACCCTGACCAACATCCTCCACTGGACTATCGGTGCTGGCCATGCTCAAGGCTTCCTCTTTCTCTGTTTGATAAGAATGGATGACGACCTCAGACTGGATATTCTCACTTTTAATAGAGTCTTTGTCCATCCTTGCAAGGTCATGACCCTGATCAGGATCTTCCAGTGCACCCTTGGCACTGGCCATGTTAAAGGATTCACCTTTCTCCATTCTATTATTGTAGATGACCACATCAAACTGGTCAGTCTCACTTTTAAGTGAGTCTTTTTCCTTCCTGGCCTTGATTCCAGTCTCCATTTCTGCAAGGTCATGACCCTGACCAGGATCCTTCACTGAACTACTGGTGCTAGCCATGCTCAAGGCTTCCTCCTTCTCCATTTGAAGAAAATGGATGACCACCTCAGACTGGCCAATCTCACTTTTATGTAAGTCTTTGTCCATCTTGGCCTTGAATCCAGTCTCCATCACTGCTGGGTCATGACCCTGACAGGGATCTTCCACTGGACTACTGGCACTGGCCATCTCCAAGTCTTCAACGTTCTCCATTTCCTTACAATGGATGACCACTTCAGACTGGTTCTTCTCATTCTTAAGTGAGTCTTTATCCACTGTGGCCTTGGATCCACTCTCCACTCCTGCAAGGTCATAATCATGACTGGCATTCCCCAAAGGACTCTTGGCACCAGCCACGTCCAGGGCTCCTTCTTCATTTTTTTCTATTTCTTCAGACCGTATGACCATCTCAGGCTGGTTCTTCTCATTGTTAAGTGAGTCTTCATCCATCGTGGCCTTGGGTCCATTCTCCATTCCTAAGAGCTCAAGACCCTGACCAGGATCCTTCTGTGGACTCTTGGTGCTAGCCACATCCAAGCCTTCATCTTTTTCCATGTCCTCAGACCATTTGACCTCCTCAGTCTGGTTCTTCTTGTTCTCGTCTTTGTTCATCCCGGTCATGGATCCAGACTCTTCTCCTGCAAGGTCATGACCCTGACCAAGATCCTTCTTTGGACTGTTGGTGCTAGCTATGTTCAAGGCTTCATCTTTTTCCATTTGTTCAGACTGTATGACCACCTCAGGCTCGTTCTTCTCATTGTTAAGAGAGTCTTTGCCCATTGTGGCCATGGATACATTCTCCATTCCTGCAAGGTCATGACCCTGACCAGGATCCTCCAAAGGACTCTTGGTGCTGGTCATGTCCAAGCCTTCATCTTTCTCCATTTCTTCAGAATGGATGACCAGCTTTGGCAGGCCATTCTCACTTTTGAAGGAGTCTTTGTCCATCTTGGCCTTAGATCCATTCTCCACTCTTGCAAATTCATGATCATGACCAGGATCCTCCAAGACACTCCTAGTGCTGGCCATGTCAAGGCCTTCAACTTCCTCCATTTCTTCAGAATGGATGACCACCTCATTGTTACTTTTAGACGAGTCTTTGTCTATTCTGGACCCCTCAGTGTCATCTGAGGGAGTTCTGGATACAATAACTATGTTAGCTATGTCTATATCTTCACAGCTATGGCTAATGTTAGCATTTCTGTTAATGGTGACTTGCATAAGTTCCTCTGGACTGAACTCTTTGGGTTTTGGCACATCACTGACAAAATGCATGCCCTTGGTTTTTGCAGTGTGGTTCAGGTTTACATCTGCTACAAGGTCACCCTTTTGTTTAATGCTAGCTGTGGCCTCCTCTGTGCTGTCTTTGCAAGGTCTGGGCTCTTCCTGACCCACATAAACCTCAGAACTGCCAGATGCACTGGAACTAGCTTCGGCAGAGGTGTCTGGTTCGCACCTGTGCAGGTGAGTCTTGTCATCATTAACCTTCTCGATGCCAGCAGTGTTCTTGTTTACAGTTCCTGGCTGTGTGCTGCTAGCTGCATGCTTGTGTTTAGCCTTTAGGCATGCTGTTATGGCACAGTCTGAAGTTTTTAATGCATCGATCTGTGAGGTGAAATCCCTTTTAGCCCCTTGTCCTGGTTCATCTCTACTCTCAGCTGCTGAGCTTTTCTCTGAGGATTTCACCACTTTGCTCGACTTTCTCCACTTCCGGACGACCGGTGGTTTGACCTCACAAGCTCCGTCATCTTGACTCGCCCGTCTTCCTCGGCCAGAGCCATACGTGTCGCCTGCCGACCCTTCTGCCGAATTCGGATTTATCCGTGGACCTGCAGCTCTGGATCCAGCCGGCCTGCTGTTTCCCACAGTGCAGAGATAACTGCATCCCTCCGCTTTGAGGAACAGGCAGCGGGTCTGGGTCTGCCGGACCCCCTCAGAGCCCTTCAGAGTGGCCACAGTCACCAGGGCACCAGGAGTGCGGAACGTTAGGTTCTCCTTCGTTTTCCTGCAAATAATAACAAAAATAATGAACTTGTAAATTTATATGGACCATTGACCTTATGTATTTTACAATGAAGAGCAAATAAAAAAAACAGGTATTAAAAGCCCATATCATTGAATATTTCTCATTTTTTTAAAATAAAAACAGCTTATTGCTGTATGTACACCCTGATAATAATTGAAATAATAAATAATAATTGAAATAATAAATGAAAATTTAAAAGTATAGTTCACTTCTTAATCAATACAGTCCATACATGAAACTAAACAGCCGGTGTTTGATTAACCGTTTCTGTGATGTCATAAATCCGCCAATGAAAGCCTACAGCAGTTTGGCCCCACCCAGTCATGCTGAAGGTATAAGGAGAGTTTCAACACAGACTACTTTCTGAATGAGGCACAGCAAGTTTGTATATAGCATTTTATACTATAAAAAAAAAAGATGTAGTATGTAAACATTGTTAACATTTCAAATAGTACTATTCAGTACATACATATCTATATATATATCTATATCTATATCTATATATATATATATATATATATATATATATATATATATATAAGCTGCAAAAAAGCTGTTTTTAATCTATTGACTTTGTGATGTCAGAAAAAAACAAAACATTTAAATATATCCAGCCATTCAACCTACACCAGTTCAGCCCCACCCTTTTATGCTGAAGTTCTAAGGGGTGTTTCAGCCTGGACTGCTCTTAGTATTTAGGCACAGCCAATGAGAACAGAGCTCATTAACATATATCATTTTTTAAAGGCACAGTAACAAAAACAGCATGTTTAATTCTAAGGGATAAAGAGAGGTGATGTAGAAATGAATTATTGGTACATAAACCCACACAAGCATCATGCAAGAGAAATATACGATACAGGCCCTTTAAAGAATGAGAGAAAAGTGACAGAAATAAAAATATTGAACAAGGAATGAAATTTTAAAAAATTACACACATAAACAAAAAAGTTTTTTAAATAATAAAAATTTTGAAATAACAATAAAATACTGTTACGATAATAATGATATTTACTATAATAATAATGATAACAATAACAATGAGTTCTATTTCAGCAAAACAATAAATAATTAAATAAATAAATGGCTGAAAAAATAGAAAAGAGATGAAATAAAAAATGTAATAAAAAGGAACAGTTAAAATAACTATAATACTTATAATAATAATGAATAAAACATCATAAGTGAATGATACACTCCTAAAGCACTATTAAATGACATTGTAATAGAAAACCAGGCCTGACCATCCTCTCTGCCTGTCCGTCTGCTGATGGTTCTGATGTTCTGCAGTTTTCCTCCTGTTTCTGGCATTGAAGCCTCCGCTGACGGCCCACGCCCTCAGGCCTTTGATCAGAGGGATCGCTCCGAACCCGATGGCTCCGAAACTGAGGGGGGCGCTGCTTCTCCCGCAGCCCTGCAGCAGCTCCCTGTGGGCCATGTCCAGGCACAGGGAGTTGTTGTTGTTGTTCTGCTGTAGCATTACGGTGGGGGGAGGGGGGTGTACAGGATACCACTAAACACTGTGGAGGGAAACATCAGGTCAGCGAGGTTAGTCAGGCTAAATACACGCGGATCCACCTCAGTGCCTCATACAGTCAGAGCATCTTCTCACGAATAAGTCCAGTGGGATTTAAAGGGCCAAGATCTCCGAAAACTGGAGCTTTCCTCACTTTTTTAAATGACTTTGATGTTGCATGTTAAAACAGTTAAAATTTCCAAAACCCCCATTCAGTCCACATCTGGAAAAACAGCCCATTTCTGTGATGTCACAACGACCAACTCATTTACATATATCCACCTATTCAACCTACAGCAATTTAGTCCCGCCCACTCAGTGCTGAAGTTATAAGGAGTGTTTTGGCTCTGAGTGCTTTCTGAATGAGGCACAGCCAATCAGAACAGAGCTAATTTGCATATATATATATATATATATATATATATATATATATATATATATATATATCAGTCTTAAAGATACAGTAGAAGACACAGCCTGTTTACTCTTAAAAAACATGGTTCTACTTAGAACCCTTTGCTTGCTTAAATGGTTCTTTGCATGGTGAAATGGTTTAGATTGATGGAGAATGTGTTGTATATGGTTCTGTATAGCACAAAAAAGGGTTCTATTGTTACGATGTCAGGCCTGTAACAATAGCAAAACCTTTTCTGGTGCTATAGGGAACCATTTTGAAAAAGGTTTTATATAGGACCATACAAAACATTCTCCATCAATCTGATGAACCATTTCACCATGCAAAGAACCATTTAAGCATCATGGTTCTATATAGAATCAAGAACCCTTGAGGAACCATCTTTTTTAAGTGTAAGGGATGAAGAGAGGTTGTAAAATGGTCATGTAGAAATTAATGATGACTGTTTTTGGTGCGTAAAACCACACAACGTTATTAATGCAAGAAAAATCTAGAATATCGGCCCTTTAAGTGTCTTGTAAGCTAACGATGACGCAAATATAAACAAATGTAAACACAATAACACTCGAAAGTTTGAAACCGCATGCAAGATTAACCGTTTCTGTTATTTTATGTTTACTGTGGATTTCAAAAGTAAAAACTATGAACCAAATGGTCTTTTTTAGCGATTTTATTCAATATTTTAAGTTACTAAACGATAAATAAAATATACTGTAATGATTTATTTTACATTCATTGTTTGTCATCTGCCTTCAGATTTGATCTCCACTTTTGAAATATGGTGAATTCTGGATATTAATGTTACTAGAACTTCGTTCTTGATGTTCTCCAGGGTTCTCAGTCAGTTTAGAATCTTCTATAACTCTGTTCTTCACTCTGGACTCATCTAACATTTCAACATTTCTATTTACAGCTTCATCTTAAAGACCTGAAAGCTGTGCAGGACGAGCAGATTACAGTGATTTATACAGTAATCTGAAACCAGACTGGGTTTATATTATTAAAAACAGTGATTCCAAACTTTTGAACACAATTGTAAAACTATAAAGCTTGATTTAACACAATAAAAGAATCTTCTAACAGGTAAACTTCATGCAGGCAAAGTCTATTGTGAGCTAACAATACTTTGAATATAAGAAACATACATAAACCATACGCAATATTTTACTAAAGTTATAGGCAGCTGAGTAAAATCGAGATATAAAAAGCTGTTTATCTGGGTAGTAAGTGTTTATTTGCTCAGGAAAACACTACCATTAGAATAAATACAGATAGTATTACTACAATAAGTTGTATGTCAGTGTGTTCATTTAACCATTTCCTGCCCTCTCCTCAAGGAAATCCAGTATTATTTGTGGTTATCATTCAATACCTGCTTTATCTAATCAGTATTTACATAACTTAGATAACTTTTTACTGCATTTATGTTTATTTGCATTTATTCTGATGATACATGGTGATTTTGCAAGTAAAAGCACACTCACTGCTCAGATAAATGGATCTAAATGATGTGCTCAAGTGCCTAAAATCAGCTTTAAACATAATCAAAGCAGCTCCACTGGTGTTTATTTTTCTTATAACGCTGTAAACATTACTGTCCCTCTTACTACACTGTCACTGTTGGAACAAAACCTTGTTTCTCCACCGAGTTTGTCTTTTTTTGTGTGTACTCTAAGAAACATCAGCAATTCTTCACACTGTTTGAAGGTTTTCTGATAAACGGAGCTGTAGAAATGATCCAGAATCACCTGGAATCAAGCATCTTTACATTAATGTACATTGAACCTCATTGAGCCTTGTTCTCCAATATCTTCCTAAGTGTGTTCTTGAGAAAGATCCTAAGAATAAGTCTACGTCAGGTTCATGACGTGTTCTTAAAGCACAGAACTGTTCTGACCTTTGTGCTCTTGAGTGTGTAGATTCTGTTCTTACCTAAGAAATAAACCCCAAATAAGAGAACACTGGTGAACGACAGAATCTTCGTCAAAACTGCGTAAGTGGATTTTAAGAAGGAATTTCTTCTTAAGAACGGCTGGAGAACGAGGCCCAATAAACAGTGAGCGTGTTTTCCCTTCTGTAAAGTTACCATTCTGGAGATACGAGGTTTTTCTCTGACAGGGACGATGCGCATATGGTTTGTCCTGCTAATATTTGTTGCTCAGGGATCAATAATGTTTATATCTGTCTACAGTCATATGCTCAGGTTTGAACACCCCAGTATCGCTCACATCACATGCTGTATTTACAAAAAATCACAAGTTGTGTTGATTTTGTAAGTGAAAATAAGTTAACACTCAACAGAGAACACACTTACACACTTACACACTTACACATGACATTTGTCTGCACATTTAATTTTACTTGCTGAATTTAACACAGTGAAAAAATACATAAAATATTATAAAATAAAATAATATAAAATATCGCACAGGCCATGTTTTATGTTTTAGTTTTTCCATAATATGTTAAATAAACAGTAATTGTGTATTAAAATGTGCAGAAGTGAGTCTCTGTAGAGGATGTGTAACTTATTTACACTCAGAAAATCAACAAATACATGGAAACTGAACAGAGGTGCAGAAACTTTTGCCTACAACTGTATATACCTGTAAATCGCTGCTGTCAGAACAAAACCTCGTATCTCCATTTTTGTCATTTTTCAGGTTTTGACATATTCTGAAAACACCAGTTGGCCTTTACAGTATGTATAAATTCCATGATGAATGGGCCAAAATAAACGACCCAAAATGACTTGGAAACAATTCTGGTTCCATTGACTTACATTAAAAGTGCAGTATGTTTTTCCTTCTCCTGTAAAGTTACCATTTTGGAGATTTTGGTCCGACAGCAGCGAAATATCTATTCATTCTCTGTCTAATTTGACAAAAATATATAGAAAATACAAAAACAACACAACACAATATATATATTACATTATATATTATACATTATATATATGTGTGTGTGTGTGTGTGTGTATGATATAAGTCTGTTCAATAATGAACACGAAGTCTTGAAGGGTCTCTAATTATTTATATATATATATATATATATATTTGAATTAAAAGAGTTATAAACAAGACATATACATGTATACATACACATAAGCATACACATGTGCTGTGTATACATATATACACATATACACAATGCTGACACATATACACATATATGTAATACAGAACATCTCAATCAGGCATTAATGTGTGTATATCTGTTGTATATAATATATTATATACATGTTATGTATGTGTGGGTGTATATGTATATACATTCACACACACACGTAAGCTACAGTGGTGGTTGAGGATGTTTGGTGTTCAGCTGCTCCGTGTGAAGCCTCTCAGTGATGATGCTATGTGACCGTGTGATGCTCAGTGAAGATGCTGCACGCGGCGTGATGCGCGCACCTGCGTCAGAAACAGCTCTCACAAACATCCACAGACAGATCAGATCTGATCAGAGGTAATCGATCACCTCAGTGTGTCGGTGTGTGCTGTCTCACCTCACTGCCGTGTCCATCTTCTTTCTCCCTCCTCGCGCACTGAGCTCGTGTCACGAATCCTCTCTGAATCACGCCGAGGAGCGCGAAGCTGCTGCTCCGCCGCGCATGCGCCTTTCAGCACCTCCTCCGCTCGCCATTGCCTTATCGATCACATATCGATGACGTATCGATCGCATAATCTGCTCGAAGTCCCCGGTCGAAGCGTCCTCGAGCCAAACCACAGCAGCACGCGCTGCGGAGGATCAAAGCGCCGCCCCACCGGAAACGAGACGCAAAGCCACCGCAATCCGGCGCGTGCGTGCGCTCTGCTGACCAATGACGGCGGTGCAGTCGCGCCCGTGCGCGCACCGTCGTACTTACGCACGAGGAGGCGCCACGCACACACGCAGACCCACACATCTATCTATCTGTCTGTCTGTCTATCTATCTATCTATCTATCTATCTATCTGTCTGTCTGTCTGCCTGTTTATCTATCAGTCTGTCTGTCTGTCTGCCTGTTTATCTATCTGTCTGTGTCTATCTACCTGTTTGTCTGTCTATCTGCCTGGACTTCTGTCTATGTTTGTCTATCTATGTATCTGTCTGTCCTTCTATCTATCTGTCTATCTATTTATCTGTCTGTCCTTCTATATGTTTATCTATCTATCTATCTATCTATCTATCTATCTATCTATCTATGTCTGTCTCTATATCTCTCTATCTGTCTATCTATCTGTCTATCAACTATCTGTCTGTCTGTCTATCTATGTATCTGTCTATCTATCTGTCTATCTATCTCTCTGTCTGTGTGTCGGTCTGTCTGTCTATTTATGTATCTTTCTATCTGTCTGTCTATGTATCTCTTTATCTCTCTGTCTATCTATCTGTCTGTCTATCTATGTATCTCTCTATCTACCTGTCTGTCTATCTATGTATCTCTCTATCTGTCTGTCTATCTATCTCTGTCTGTGTGTCGGTCTGTCTGTCTATTTATGTATCTTTCTATCTGTCTGTCTATCTGTCTGTCCTTCTATCTATCTATCTGTCTATCCCTCTATCTGTCTATCTATATGTCTCTGTTTATGTATCTTTCTATCTATCTTTGTCTATCTATCTCTCTATCTGTCTATCTGTTTATCTATCTATCTATCTATCTATCTATCTATCTATCTATGTTTATGTCTGTCTATCTATTGTCTATCTGTCTGTCTGTCTATCTGTCTATCTATCTTTCACACAAACAGGAAATATCAATGCTTTATCAAGATTAATGCCTCTCTCTCTCTCTCTCTCTCTCTCTCTCTCTCTCTCTCTCTTTTCTCTCTCTCTCTCTCTCTCTCTCTCTCTCTCTCTCTCTCCTCCTATCTCCATGTTTTTTGCATAGTAATCGTTTGTCTTGTGTTAAAATTTGGATGAATGGACCAACAGAAATGATCCAAAATCACTTCAAAAAACTCGTTTTTACATGAACTTCCATTACAAGTTAAGAATGTTTTTTCCTTCTCCTGTAAAGAGCACCATGAAAATACAAATAGCACTCTGTAGTTCTACAGTTACAGACTGTAGTCCATCTGTTTCTCTGCATACTTTGTTACCCTGTTCTTCAGTGGTCAGGACCCCCACAGGACCCCCATAGAGCAGGTCCTATTTGGGTGGCGGGTCATTCTCAGCACTGCAGTGACTCTGACGTGGTGGTGGTGTGTTTAGCCCTATTGGAGCTGGATAAGTTGCAGCAGAGGAGGTTTGTTTTATTATAATCCTCAGACACAGATTAATCCAGGCTGCTCGAGCTGCTGTCTGTAGCTTTTATTACTTTAATAACTGATCGTGATAATTAGTCACCCAGACCAGCAGGAAAGTATTCAGTCTGCACCTGACGATAAAAACTGAGTTTAACGTGAGAAACACAATCAGACACATCAGCAAATCCATCAATGTGTGAATCACTTCTAATCTTAATACACATAGAAATAAAATAAACCCCCAAACCACAGTAAGAAGGACGGAGCTTAAGTTTTAAGTCACTTTCTGGTACCTGAAGCTGCACCACAGGAAACGGCATATAAGAAGCTGACTTCAGGTTCGTGTAAGAAGGTGCTGAGGTTAATCTATTATGAATATCTACACGGATTAAGGAACTCTATAACTTAATGCTGCAAAGCTTTAACCATCACTGTAAATAAATAACTACTACATAAAGTTAAGATCCTGAATAGACTATTAAATGAAATAAGCTTAATATAAAACTAGAGGAAGAACAATCACATCAACAGGTTCTCTGAGCCTCATTAACCACACGGCCATATCTACACAAACACCACACAAACAATACACATCACACAGACATGAGTGTGGATCACTGCGTTCCCTCCGTTATATAATCCTATCCCACTTTCTGAGAGTGATATTCCTGAAATAGTGTAATTTCGGACAGTATCTTTCTTAAACTGCCGCTCTGTAATGGTACTGAATGCAGTCCAGCAGCGATGCTGACCGCCCCAAAATGGCGGTGCCATTGACGAGCCTGGCTGGACCCAACGTGGCATCTAGGTCTGTATATCTGTGTACCAGAATGAATGGGGTTTTTCGAAAAACACCCTGTGTTAAATAAACATGTCCAGAACCCGATAAGTTCTGTTCTGTGAACATTTTACTCCCGAACACCACTGGATCCTCTGAATTACGAGGTCGTTAAAGAGCCTTAATGCTAATGTAGTTACATGCGAGCTAAAGCTACTGCGCATCAATCTGATGTCACAAAGCTACACGAAACTAAGGCGGGCTGTGCCGCTGCTCTGACGAGCTGTGCTACCTCATCAAAATGTTCTACCGTAGCACATAATTACAGGTAAACCCGTAAATAAAACCTCTAAGTGGGATATTTTAACAGGCTAAAACTCCTTATCAACAATACTACCTGTGTTAAACTACGAGGCTGAATTTAGCTTCTTTTTCGCAGCTTCTTGTTTGAATGTTCCCGTTCCACCTTAAATGGTGCAGCAGTTGCTGTGCTGCTAGAGTTCTACCTGATCTATATCACTTCTCCTCAGACCTGGCAGGTCAGGCCAGGCATTACTGCTACTGAGTGCTGAATGGTTAGCATTAGTGCTAATGAGCACTGATTGGTTGGCATTGCTGCTACTGAGCGCTGATTGGTTGGCATTACTGCTACTGAGCGCTAATTGGTTGGCATTACTGCTACTGAGTGCTGATTGGTTGGCATGAATGCTACTGAGTGCTGATTGGTTAGCATTACTGCTAGTGAGTGCTGACTGGTTAGCATTACTGCTACTGAGTGCTGATTGGTTGGCATTGCTGCTAGTGAGTGCTGACTGGTTAGCATTACTGCTACTGAGCGCTGATAGGTTGGCATTACTGCTACTGAGTTCTGAACATCTTGTAAAACCAGTTTATTTCTGATTACTTAAGCGTTTCAGATGTTCTTCTCTATGTCCTTATAATGTTTTTTTGTGCCGCTGAACTTTTTAGTCTATTAGCACAAGTGCTACATATGCTGCCAAGCAGCCTGAGCTAAAAGTTTGATGGACATAGTAACAGTAACTAAAGGAGGTGGGGTCAGAATTTTCTAAATAGTGAAATTGTGCTGGACTGACCGCAGTTGAGTGTATTTATTAGTAGCTATTTTGAAATGATCATTGAGATTGCACTGTAATTTGAGACTTGACTATGGTGGCAGTTTTACTTATTCTCCAGCTTCAGGATTTATCTATAACAGGATTAAATGATTATACAATATTTAGACAGGAAGGATAATCATAGTAAAAACAAGCTAGCAGCAGTTACCAACTGTTAATATTTTTATTTCTTTTTGTTTTGTCCAACTGACACATTGTGTTTCGAAAGAAAAAAAAATCTGACATGCTCATCAGTACTACAAACTCTTAAAAAAAACCAAAACAAACAAAAACTATACAGTAATATTGCTAGCTGCTCATTTTAAACTAATTTCATCCTCAATGCAGGAGTTAATGAAAAATATGCCAGAGAATTTCACAACAACTCAAAAGATTCCCTTCAACACAGAAATGTTGTCATTGTACAGTATCACATTTTAATGCATTCCTCTTTAATTCTTGAATTAATTTCCACATTCAAACACATCCTCGGCACTACAAATTAATTTTATCAATATATATGTACATTTTGTGTGAATAAGTATGAAAAAAGTCTTGAACAGTCTTTCTACTTTAATAAGGTACAGCCATTATAGAAAAAAGGCATAGAAATTTGCATTCCATTCTGAAACTTGAAAAAAGAGTCGTAAAAACCGCAAATGTACTCAAACTACCTTAAGCGAGATCAAGCTAAATATAACACCTCTGAAAATCATGAGAAATTTTCAAATCCCACCCTTTTGTCTATGTATGTATATTATCTACAGCAACTGTTCTACGTGAAAGTGTAAAGAACTAATATCTTTACAAGTTTACCAACTCTGTAAATGGTAAATATATGAAAATAAAACTCTCCTACAATAAATAGTTTTATTTATGTGCCAAAAAAGCTCTTGATGTGTTCAGAATAAAAATAAATAGATTAAAACTGAATAAAACAACAACACAGTCACATATAAAAACATATATTACTCATCTCCCCTAAATTCACTGACTCCAGTGTGTAGTTGAGCTGCTACTTTTTGATTCAGTCACCATATATTTTGACATTTTAGTTACTACAGTAAGTGTCCCTTCCTTCGTTGTGGTGACCGTATGCTCTGATGAAGATTCCTGGGTGGAGAACTCTATCTTTGGCATTCTCATGTAGAAACCTCCAGAAGCTTCTTCACCGTGGGATCTGCCTTCCTTTGGAGAGCCCTCTGGTGTGATTTGCACAGTGCTGGTGGACTGAGGGCTAAGAGTGACTGCGGGTACTTTAAACCAGGTTGCCTCCTCTGTTTCTTCCCCTTCTTGCCTGCTGCTTCTACCATATCCCTCAGAATCCCTTTCTCTTTGGCCAGAGGTCTTCCCTGAGAGAATACCAGTTGAAACCTTGGGAATCGGGGACTCTGATTCCTCTCGTTCTGCTAACATTTCTGTTCTGGCTTTTGAGGACACTACGATGTTGCTCTCAGTCTCCTCTTCGTACTTTGTTGTTTTCTTCCTGAAGCCTGGAAATGATATCTTTCCTGATTTAGCCTTGGTTCCTTTAGCATCTTTGCCGTCTCCTGAGGTGTCCTTCTTGCCTAGTTTCATGCCCATCTCCAAGTCTCCCTCTTCACTCGCATCTTTGGAGTATGGTGAGGTAAACTCAACTTTGGGAAACTTCAGCTTTCCAAACACTGCTTTGTCATCTTTGTCACCATTAACGGTAGGATCATCTGCATCGTATGCCCCTGTTTTTATTGGGGAAAATTCAACTTTGGGCAACTTGAATTTGCTTGTCTTTGACTTTCCTTCAGTTTCCACGTCCTCTTCGTCACCATTCAAAGCTGTTCCTTTACCTTTGGAATGTGACTTTCCAAAACTTGGCTTCAGTTTGAGCTTTGACCCTTTTCCAGCCTCTGCACTTGCTTCACCAGTTACAGCAGAGCCTTCTGCTTGGGGATTAACCAAAACAAATACTGCTTTCTTTACTTTTGGCATAGGAGGGCCCTCATACTCCACTTCAGCACCCGTGATGACTGAATAGCCCTTGGACTTTGGTGATTTGATGTTGAGTTTGGCTTCAGGTGAACTTATAGAAGGCAGAGCCACGCCAAACTTTGGTATTTTGACTGTGGTACTCGTCTTGGTGTCCTCTTTATCATCATCTGTGTCATCTTGGGCAGTCCCAATATCAAAATCTATTTCTGGAAGCTTTGGTGCTTTTACTTCAATATTAGGCAACGAGAAGCCATGGCCTGAACCAGCATCTTCAACAGTGGGTTGTGTAGATGCTGATTTTCCTTGGCCTTTACTCTTTATGGTAGGACCAGAGATCTCTACTTCAGGCAGTTTGATTTTAGAGAGTTTTGAGGATGAATCCTGACCTCCCTCCATGTCCACAGCAGCCTCTTCTTTAGACTTCTTAATCTTGACTCCTCCGCCAATCCCTGCATCAATTTTTCCTGACTTACTTATATCTGTCTCTAGTCCAGAAAACTTAACTTTTGGCATACCAATGTTGAACTTTGTACCCTTCACTTTTGGCCCCTTTACTTTTCCCTTAGTTGGTGCTGAGCTGAGGTCAATGTCTGGCGGCTCAAGCTTCTTTCTTTCAGTTTCTCCATCCTTTGATAAGCCAATATCTAATTCTAGATGCCCTCTTGGGCCCTCTATATCTATTGTTGGCATTTTCATTTTAAATTTACCTTCCTCTCCCACTTTGGCTTGGACAGGGCTGATATCACTAACAGGACATGATGCATTTGCATTTCCAGACATTCCTTTAGACAACGAGATGTCTACTTTTGGTAATTTAATGTCTGGCATCTTGAATTTACCATCTCCTGTGACTTCTACATCATCTGCTGCTCCTTGAGGTACTGATATATCCACCTTAGGCATTTTAACATCAGGCAATTTAAATTTCCCACCTTTTACATCAATTTCTACTTCTGAAGCATCAAGTGTTCCAGATTTACCTTTTAGTGGTGATATTTCTACTGCTGGCATTGTAATGTTTGGCATCCTGAATTTCCCATCTTGCCCCACAAGCTCCAGTTCGGGGGCATCAATGTCAGCTGTTTTTCCTTTTGGTAGTGAAATATCTACTTGTGGCACTTTAATGTCTGGCCTCCTTAATTTTCCACCTCCCTCAACTTCGAATTCTGGACCACTAATTTCTCCTTTTTTCCCTTTGGGCAGTGATATGTCAACTGTTGGCATTGTAATATTTGGCATCTTAAATTTCCCACCTTCCATTTCCAGATCTGGATTATCAATATCTGCTTTACCATGATGCAATGAAATATCTATTTTAGGCATTTTAACATCAGGCAGCTTGAATTTGCTTGGTCTTCCCTCGGCTTCTGCTTCAGGTGACTGTATTTCTCCTTTTATTCCTTTGGGTAATGAAATATCCACCTCTGGCATCTTGAATTTTCCACCACCTCCAACTTCCAGCTCTCCTGTTTTGCCTGTGGGTACAGATATATCAACGGTTGGCATTGTAATTTTTGGCATGTTGAATTTTCCTCCTTGTCCCTTGACCTCTGGCACATCAATGTTTCCTGTTTTTCCTTCAGGTAGGGATATATCTATTTTTGGCATTTGAATGTTGGGCATTTTGAATGTACCTCCCTGAACTTCGAGTTGTGGTGTATCAGTGTCTTCTGTTTTACCTTTAGGAATATGTAGGTCAACTTTTGGCAACTTGAATGCTCCTGCCTTTCCATCAGCATCCAGTTCTGGAGGACTGAAGTGTCCCGTACGTCCATGGGGCAAAGAAATGTCCACAGTTGGCATTGTGATTTTAGGCATTGTGAACTTTCCACCTTTGGCTTCAGCTTCTACTTTTAGTTCTGGAGCACTAATTCCTTCTTTGTTGCCTTTGGGCAGTGATATATCCACTGTAGGCATTGAAATGTTTGGCATGTTGAATTTGCCACCTTGTCCTTCGGTTTCCAGATCTGGAGTGTCTATGTCTACTTTGCCATGGGGTAGCAAAATATCTATTTTAGGCATTTTAACATCAGGTATCTTGAATTTCCCACCTTTTCCTTCCATTTCCAAGCCTGAAGTATCCACATCTGTTTTTCCATGGGGCAGTGATATGTCCACTGTTGGCATTGTAATTTTTGGCATCTTGAATTTCCCTGTCTTGTTCTTCAGTTTCCATATCTGGAGTACTGATGTCTACTTTACCATGGGGTAATGAAACATCTACTGTAGGTATTTTAACCTTTGGCATCTTGAATTTCCCACCTTTTCCTTTTAATTCCAGTTCTAATGCATCCATATCTCCTGTTTTACCATGTGGTAGTGATATATCCACTGTGGGCATTGTAATTTTTGGCATCTTGAACTTGCCACCTTTGCCCTCTGCCTCCAGTTCTGGTGTGTCAGTGCCACCTGTCCTCCTTTCGGGTAGTGATATGTCTACTTTTGGCATTTTTATATGTGGCATCTTTAGTTTATCAATTTCAATGTTGATAGCTGAAGAACTGGAGTCAACTGACACATCATGTTTCACCTTTGGTAAGGCAACATCCAAATCAACCTTTGGTACAGATATATCAATAGTTGGCATTTTCGGAATTTTTAAGCTACCCTCATAACCCGTGATATCCGCCTCAGACACATCAACCTCGGTTTTTGGTAGCAATGCCTCACGTTCTGGTATATTTGCTGATGGCAAGGATATCTCAACTGATGGCATTTTGACCTTTCCTTTTGTGTCCAAGGATGGAGCCTTGAAGTCACCTTTGATCTCTCTATCCACATTAAGTGAAGCATCCACATTGCCTTCTGGAAGTTTTATTTTAGGTATCTTAAATTTAGGTAGTTTTAGTTTGTATTTAGGTTTGTCTTCAGGGCTTTCCACTTTGATTTCTGATTTTGTAATATCCCCTTCTCCCATTTTCATCTTCATTTCAAACTCTGGTCCACTTACATCTCCATCCTTTTTGGAGATACCAAATGACGGCATTTTGATTTTCGGCTTCTTTACTTTGCCTTTAATTTTTCCATCAGTATCAATCTCTATAGATGGGGAGCATCTCTCCACATCCAAATCAGCAGACAAGCCAGGACTTTCTACTCCTCTACTTTTAAATTTTCCACCAAATTTAGGAAGTGATGTTTTTGGTATTTTTAGAGTCACATCTGGAACTTCAAAACTTGCCCCAGATGATGGTCTACGGCCTTCAGCTTTCAGAAGATGAATATCCTCTCTATCACTGCTTTTTGTTTTTGGAAGGCCAAAGTCAAGGTCAACTCGGGGTGCTGATATGTCAACAGTTGGTAGCTTCACAGTTGGCAGCTTTATATTTCCACCTATGCCTCCACTAACACTGATGTCAGGCATATTTTTACCTTTTATGTCTGGCCCTTCAATTTTCATTTCACCTTCAGGTAATTTCATTTTTGGTAAGGAAATGTCAAGTTTTGGGATTCCAATTATGCCTGCTTTCCCTGAATGACCTTCAATGTCAATGGATGGCAGGCTGAATTTTCCAGTTTTGACATCAGGACCTTCAACTTTAACCTCATCCCTCTGGTAACTTGATTTTTGGGCATGGAAATATCAACTTCAGGAGCTTTGACCTTAGGCAGAGATATATCAAACTTAGGGCATTTCAAACTTTCCTCCTTTCCCAGAATGTCCCTCAATGCCAATTTCTCCTTCGGCCTTTCCTTTTGGTAATGATATGTCAACGGATGGTAAGCTGAATTTTCCAGTTTTGACATCAGGACCTTCAACATTAATCTCACCCTCTGGTAACTTGATTTTTGGCATGGAAATATCCACTTCAGGAGCCTTGACCTTAGGCAGAGATACATCAAATTTTGGTATTTCAAACTTTCCTCCTTTCCCAGAATGTCCAGCATCGAGATCTCCCTCCACTTTACCTTGGGGTAAAGCAAGCTCCACAGATGGCATACCAACTTTTCCCCCTTTAGGCCCCTCGACATTTATATCAATCTTTGGAGATTTCATTTTTGGTAGGGAAAGATCAACTTGGGGCATATGAAACTTGCCCCCTTTACTAGCATCACCTTTAAGCTCAGCACCCCCCTTTACTTTTCCTTTTGGCAATGAGATGTCAATGTCTGGCATATGAAACTTTCCACCTTTGACATCAGGCCCTTCTACATCAACTTTCCCTCCTTCAAGACTGATGTCTCCCTCTATCTTAGGTTTTGGTAAAGAAATATCAACAGATGGCATGTGAAACTTTCCACCCTTGATGTCAGGACCTTCCACATTGATTTCACCTTTAGGTAATTTTATTTTTGGTAAAGAGATATCAAGTTTTGGCATTTCAATTTTTCCACCTTTCCCAGAATGTCCCTCAATGCCAATTTCTCCTTCAGCCTTTCCTGATGGTAATGATATGTCAATGGATGGCAAGCTGAATTTTCCTGTTTTGACATCAGGGCCTTCAATATGAACTTCACCCTCTGGTAACTTCACTTTTGGGATGGAAATATCAACCTCAGGAGCCTTGACCTTAGGCAGAGATATATCAAATTTGGGCATTTCAAACTTTCCTCCTTTCCCAGAATGTCCTTTAATGTCAATTTCTGCTTCAGCCTTTCCTTTTGGTAATGATATGTCAATGGATGGTAAGTTGAATTTTCCAGTTTTGACATCAGGACCTTCAACATTAATCTCACCCTCTGGTAACTTTACTTTTGGCATGGAAATGTCAATTTCAGGAGCTTTGACCTTAGGCAGAGATACATCAAATTTGGGCATTTCAAACTTTCCTCCTTTCCCAGAATGTCCAGCATCGAGATCTCCCTCCACTTTTCCTTGAGGCAAAGCAAGCTCCACAGATGGCATACCAACTTTTCCCCCTTTAGGCCCCTCGACATTTATATCAATCTTTGGAGATTTCATTTTTGGTAGGGAAAGATCAACTTGGGGCATATGAAACTTGCCCCCTTTACCAGCATCACCTTCAAGATCAGCACCTCCCTTTACTTTTCCTTTTGGCAATGAGATGTCAATGTCTGGCATATGAATCTTCCCACCTTTGACATCAGGTCCTTCCACATTGATTTTCCCTCCTTCAACACTGACATCTCCCTCTACTTTAGGCTTTGGTACAGAGATATCAACAGAGGGCATGTGAAACTTTCCACCCTTGATGTCAGGACCTTCCACATTGATTTCACCTTTAGGTAATTTTATTTTTGGTAAGGAGATATCAAGTTTTGGCATTTCAATTTTTCCACCTTTCCCAGAATGTCCCTCAATGCCAATTTCTCCTTCAGCCTTTCCTGATGGTAATGATATGTCAATGGATGGCAAGCTGAATTTTCCACTTTTGACATCAGGGCCTTCAATATGAACCTCACCCTCTGGTAACTTCACTTTTGGCATGGAAATATCAACTTCAGGAGCCTTGACCTTAGGCAGAGATATATCAAATTTGGGCATTTCAAACTTTCCTCCTTTCCCAGAATGTCCTTTAATGTCAATTTCTGCTTCAGCCTTTCCTTTTGGTAATGATATGTCAATGGATGGTAAGTTGAATTTTCCAGTTTTGACATCAGGACCTTCAACATTAATCTCACCCTCTGGTAACTTCATCTTTGGCATGGAAATATCCACTTCAGGAGCCTTGACCTTAGGCAGAGATACACCAAATTTTGGCATTTCAAACTTTCCCCCTTTCCCAGAATGTCCAGCATCAAGATCTCCCTCCACTTTTCCTTGAGGCAAAGCAAGCTCCACAGATGGCATACCAACTTTTCCCCCTTTAGGCCCCTCGACATTTATATCAATCTTTGGAGATTTCATTTTTGGTAGGGAAAGATCAACTTGGGGCATATGAAACTTGCCCCCTTTACCAGCATCACCTTCAAGATCAGCACCTCCCTTTACTTTTCCTTTTGGCAATGAGATGTCAATGTCTGGCATATGAATCTTTCCACCTTTGACATCAGGCCCTTCTACATCAACTTTCCCTCCTTCAAGACTGATGTCTCCCTCTATCGTAGGTTTTGGTAAGAGATATCAACAGAGGGCATGTGAAACTTTCCACCCTTGATGTCAGGACCTTCCACATTGATTTCACCTTTAGGTAATTTTATTTTTGGTAAGGAGATGTCAAGTTTTGGCATTTCAATTTTTCCACCTTTCCCAGAATGTCCCTCAATGCCAATTTCTCCTTCAGCCTTTCCTGATGGTAATGATATGTCAATGGATGGCAAGCTGAATTTTCCTGTTTTGACATCAGGGCCTTCAATATGAACTTCACCCTCTGGTAACTTCACTTTTGGGATGGAAATATCAACCTCAGGAGCCTTGACCTTAGGCAGAGATATATCAAATTTGGGCATTTCAAACTTTCCTCCTTTCCCAGAATGTCCTTCAATGCCAATTTCTGCTTCAGCCTTTCCTTTTGGTAATGATATGTCAATGGATGGCAGGCTGAATTTTCCAGTTTTGACATCAGGACCTTCAATATTAACCTCACCCTCTGGTAACTTCATCTTTGGCATGGAAATATCGATCTCAGGAGCCTTGACCTTAGGCAGAGATATATCCATTTTTGGCATTTCAAACTTTCCCCCTTTCCCAGAATGCCCAGCATCAAGATCTCCCTCCACTTTTCCTTGAGGCAGAGCAAGCTCTACAGTTGGCAAACCAACTTTTCCACCTTTAGGCCCCTCAATATTTAGATCTACATCTGGGGATTTTATTTTTGGTAGAGAAAAATCAACATGGGGTATATAAAACCTCCCCCCTTTACCAGCATCACCTTCCAGATCAGCACCTCCCTTTACTTTTCCCTTTGGCAATGAGATGTCAATTCTCCCACCTTTGACATCAGGCCCTTCAATACTGATGTCACCTCCTGCTGATTTCATTTGCGGCAAAGAAATGTCAATTTTGGGCATTTTAAACTTTCCTTCCTTTTTGGTTCCTCCTTCAAGACTGACATCTCCCTCTGTCTTAGTCTTTGGAGCAGAAATATCAAGAGAGGGCATGTGAAACTTGCCACCCTTAATATCAGGACCTTCCACACTGATTTCGCCTTTGGGTAATTTCATTTTTGGTAGGGAGATATCGAGTTTTGGCATTTCAAACTGTCCTCCTTTCCCAGAATGTCCTTCAATGCCAATTTCTGCTTCAGCCTTACCTTTTGATAATGATATGTCAATGGATGGCAAGCTGAATTTTCCAGTTTTGACATCAGGACCTTCAACATTAACCTCACCCTCTGGTAACTTGATTTTTGGCATGGAAATATCAACTTCAGGAGCCTTGACCTTAGGCAGAGATACATCAAATTTGGGCATTTCAAACTTTCCTCCTTTCCCAGAATGTCCAGCATCGAGATCTCCCTCCACTTCTCCTTGAGGCAAAGAAAGGTCTATAGTTGGGATACTAACTTTTCCACCTTTAGGCCCCTCAACATTTATATCAATCTTTGGAGATTTCATTTTTGGTAGGGAAAGATCAACTTGGGGCATACGAAACTTGCCCCCTTTACCAGCATCACCTTTAAGCTCAGCGCCCCCCTTTACTTTTCCTTTTGGCAATGAGATGTCAATATCTGGCATATGAATCTTCCCACCTTTGACATCAGGTGCTTCCACGTTGATTTTTGCACCTTCAAGACTGACGTCTCCCTCTACCTTAGATTTTGGTACAGAGATATCAACAGAGGGCATGTGAAACTTGCCACCCTTGATCTCAGGACCTTCAACATTCATTTCACCTTCAGGAAATTTCATTTTTGGTAAGGAAATGTCAAGTTTTGGCATTTGAATTTTTCCACCTTTCCCAGAATGTCCCTCAATGCCAATTTCTCCTTCAGCCTTTCCTGATGGTAATGACATGTCAATGGATGGCAAGGTGAATTTTCCTGTTTTGACATCAGGACCTTCAATATTAACCTCACCCTCTGGTAACTTCATTTTTGGCAAGGAAATATCAATTTCAGGAGCCTTGACCTTAGGCAGAGATATATCAAATTTTGGCATTTCAAACTTTCCTTCTTTCCCAGAATGTCCAACATCGAGATCTCCCTCCACTTTTCCTTGAGGCAGAGAAAGCTCAACAGTTGGCAAACCAACTTTTCTCCCTTTTGGCCCCTCAATATTTAGATCTACCTCTGGGAATTCCATATTTGGTAGGGAAATATCAACATTGGGCATATAAAACTTTCCCCTTTTACCAGCATCACTTTCAAAATCAGCACCTCCCTTTACTTTTCCCTTTGGCAATGAGATATCAACATCTGGCATATGAAACTTCCCACCTTTGATATCGGGTCCTTCAATACTGATGTCTTTTCCTGCTGATTTGAATTGGGGTAAAGACATGTCAATTTTGGGCATTTTAAGCTTAGTGTCTCCTTCAAGACTGATGTCTCCCTCTACCTTAGGTTTTGGTACAGAGATATCAACAGAGGGCATGTGAAACTTGCCACCCTTGATCTCAGGACCTTCCACATTGATTTGACCTTCAGGTAGTTTGATTTTTGGTAAGGAGATATCGAGGTTTGGCATTTCAGACTTTCCTCCTTTTCCAGAATGTCCTTCAATGCCAATTTCTGCTTCAGCCTTACCTTTTGGTAATGATATGTCAATGGATGGCATTTCAAGTTTCCCAGGCTTGACATCAGGTCCTTCAATGCTGATTTCACCACCTGTTGATTTCATTTGGGGCAAACCAATGTTGAATTTGGGCATTTTAAACTTCCCTCCCTTTTTCATGTCACCTTCAAGACTTACATCTTCTTGTAGCTTTCCTTTAGGCAATGATATGTCAACAGATGGCATACTGAATTTTCCACCTTTGATTTCAGGGCCTTCTACATTCACATCAACAGATGGAGCTTGTACTTTCGGTAATGAGAGATCAATCTGAGGCATTTGAAATTTTCCTTTGCCAGCGTTTGCTTCAAAATCAGTGTCTCCCTCAATTTTTCCCTTTGGCAGTGAAATATCAATTGATGGCATACTAAACTTTCCACCTGTAATTTCAGGACTTTTAACATTGATTTCACCCTGGGGTAATTTAAGTTTGGAAACTGACAGATCTATGTCAGGCATTTTAAACTTTCCTCCTTTTCCAGAATGGCCTTCAGTTTTAATGTCGCATTCCACTTTTCCTTTAGGGAGGGACAAATCTACAGAAGGCAAATGAAACTTGCCACCTTTAATGTCAGGTTTCTCAACACTAATTTCACCCTCTGGCAATTTCATTTTTGGCAGAGAGAGATCAATTTGAGGCATGTGGAACTTTCCTCCTTTCCCAGATTGACCTTCCTCAAACTCAGTAGACCCTTCTATTTTTCCTGTTGGTAATGCTATATCAACAGATGGCATACTGAATTTTCCACCTTTTATGTCAGGTCCTTCAACACTAATTTCACCCTGTGGTAATTTGACCGTTGGTAGAGAGACATCTACTCCAGGCATCTTAAATTTTCCTTTCTTCCCAGATGAGCCCTTGGCCTCAACATGTCCTTCCCCTTTTCCCTTTGGCAGTGAAAGGTCAATAGATGGCATATTAAATTTTCCACCTTTAACCTCAGGCCCTTCAATGTTGATTTCACCTTGTGGTAAGTTCATTTTAGGAAGGGAAAGATCCACTTGAGGCATTTGAAACTTGCCACTCTTTTCAGCATCTGCCTCAAGAGAAACATCTCCCTTCAGTTTTCCTTTTGGCAACGATAAGTCAATTGATTGCATGTGAAATTCTTTCCCCCTGACATCAAGCCCTTCAACATTAAATTTGCTCTCAGGAGATGTTATTTTTGGCAAGGAGATGTCTAATTTTGGCATGTCAAATTTTGCCCCTGTACTTGTACATCCTTCAGCATCAGTGTCTTTTCCAGTTATCTTTGGAATGGAGATGTCTATTGATGGGAGACTAATGTCTGATTTCTCAATACTGGGCATTGCAATGCCAAGTTTTGGGATGCCAATGTTGGGGCCTTTAGCCATAGATCCATCGATCTCATCTCCAGATGTTTGTTTTGTGTCTAGGCTTAGTTTTGGTAATGATATGTCAACATCTGGCATGCTGATTTTCATTCCTTTCACATTTGGCTCATGAATATCAATGTCTTTGAAATCAACAGTTTCTGTGGTCTTTGGAATATGTAAATCCACATCCACATTCGGCACACTAATGTCAATTGCTGGCATCTTTAATTTTGCTTCCATTTTTGTGGCAGCCTCCCCATCAACTTCATCTGAGTGATGGGAGAGTCTTAGCTTTGGCAGTTTGATCTTTGGCATCCTCATCTTGGTGTCAGCACCATCTAAATCCCCCTTGGGTACTTTCGCTTCAGGGTCAACCTTCCCCTTAACATCCACTTCGGTTTTAGGCAAACTGAAATCAAATTCCACAGAAGGTGTTTGAAATTTAGCCTCAGGACCTTTCAGTGCAACACTGTCATCCAATGATGAGTCTGTTTTTGATTTTTTTGTCTGAGGAAAATGCATTCCAAACTTTGGCCCTTTTCCTTTGGCTTTAATCTTTGCTCCAGTTATCTCTGTCTCCCCTCCTGGTGTTGAAATTTCTACATCACCTCCTGCAGCGGACTTCGTTTTTGTCCTCGGAAATCTGATCTTTCTTTTCTTCCTTACGCTGGTGACCACTCCTTCTAGTTGCCCTGGTGCCTCTGCAGATGCTTTCCCACGTTTCTTCAGCCTAAACTTTGGGAATGCAAACTCCACATCAACAGGAGTAAAGTCCATTCTAGTTGGTGAACCCTCAATGTCCATTTCTGCTTCAGCTTGTGCTTTCTTGTTCTCTTTCAGTCTTTTCAATCCAAATCTTCCTCCTCTTTTCTTTTTGGCTTTAAACGGTTTAACACTTTTGACACTCTGCAATAAAACATGAAAGTATTCCAAAGTGAAAATCATTACAGGAACATGGTAGCATAAAATGTATGAGAAACATAGCAGATTTTTTTATCATATAATCAATCCAAAGTGTATCTATTTGCAGAATAAGGCTTTACCATTCTTTGCACCTTGGCCTTAGGTCCTCTTAGCTCAACATTTGGTGCACCTGGACGACTGCTGACTTCAATTTGAGGTACAGTCCTCTTCAAGAAGAATGACACTTTGTAAGGTTCTGCACACTGAAGGATCTTCAGAGCATCCTCATATTTCACGTTATCAAAATACACCCTGGCACTAAGCAGCTGATCTCCTATAAAGGCACACAGTGATTCAAAGAGTAACTCATAGTTCCACCAAACTCGCAGACAAACAAAGCTTTCTATGATACGACTTTAGGAATGAACATAAACATGCACTTGAACATTTAATTTCATTACATAAATGAAAATGTGCAGGTTATTTTATTGTCCTTCAAAGAAAGCATGCATTTTAAACAGAAGAACTTCTACAGTAGATAAAATGGCTGAAATCTGCTAAATATTATCCTCTTTTCACCTTTTTGGAGGCTCAGTTGCTTTGCTGCTGGGGAATCTTTCAGAACTTCTTTGACAAAGATGCCCTTCACCCCTCCACCGACAACGCTGTATCCACTGGCTCCTGCTTCAGCCTCTGTCTCCACCACCACTTCCACCAGTTCTGATGCACGGCCTTCTTCCTGCACCCATTAATCATTAATATTGTTAAAAGCATTTTAATTGTTAATGTGATGGTTTGCAGATAAATCCAATATCGATACATTTACACAACTGTGTTGTTTAGTATCTCTAATAGACCTGGCTATGGAGTTTCTACCACTGTATGACACACTGTTATCTATAAACATGGACAAAACTGTCACATAGCTAAAAATCATTGCTGCCATTTTGAAACCAAATTTTTCTGTTTATTGTTTTTGTCCACAACTTGATGCATGTTGAGGCCTGCCCCCTGTAAAAAAGTTAACAATTGTGAAACACAAATTGTGGTTCTATTAATATTAGAAGCTCAGTGAATTCAATACATCAAGTTGCATCATTTTTTTACTTTGCAGTTAGCATAATGTTAATTGGCGGGACTTCTTAGCTACATTAGCACTGTAGCTCCAGTACAAATTTAAGCAAACTTTAGACTCCAGATGTGACTTAGCTGATCGACTACATTGTGGTAGGAGAGGAAATTTTGAATTTTTGATTTTTCACTGAACTATCACTTTACCGCCCAGTCAGTGAAATTACATTCATGTCATTGGAATTCACATCGCTGAAGTCTGGAATGAATAAATTTCATGTCAACTTTGGTGAACTTTGATATGGAAATCCGTGACCAGTAGTGCTACTGCTTAGGCTGTGTTGAACTCTGAACGACTTTGAAGAGCAGCGTTAAAGCAAAACATTTCATCCCCACTGGCTATAAATAAACATATTAAAGAGAGACTGCTTGGTACACACTCAGTCAGAATTATATATTATTATGTTTACTTTTGTGTTGTTATTGTTTATGGTAGGTGAGTTATCAAGCATGCTAACTGCTAGGTTACACCTTAAAATAATAGGATACTGAAGGCACCTTTTTGGGGTTCCTCAGGTTGCCGCATTGGCGGAACCCTTTAGAGAGCTTCCATGAACCTTTTTAAAAAGGGCAGTTCTCTGAGAAACTTAGGAAAATTTACAAGGTTCCTTGAGGGACTGTTTTATCCAGCATGGTGGTCTTAGCTTCTTGGCTAAGTGACTATATGATTGTCTGGCAGGGGTGGCAACAAGTCTCAACTATTCACACTCAAGTCAAGAGTCAAGATAGTCGAGTCTCGATTCAAGTCCCGAGTCAGTGAAGGCGAGTCTCAAGTCAAGTCCCCAGTCAATAGTCCTAATCTTATAGTCCTAAACAAGTCAGTCTGCATTCTTCAGTTAATTTAAAGCCGTAACAGTACTGTAGCCTTTCAATGACAGCACATCAGTAGTGTATGGTTGTATTTTATATTATTATTATTTTTCTACCTTTTCAACTAAAATACAAAATGCTTGGTACACAGATAACCATGACAGGCATACTGATACACACAAACAGTAGTGTACTACATATGAAAAGAATTTTAAAAGTACTGCTGAACTTAATTAAAAAAACCTTTATATTTGAAGATAATTTTTGATGATCTTTGGGAATATTTGGGGCGCACAGGATTACAATAAAATATCTCAGCCAACTAAAAACAACCGCTAGTTTGAATTGAATTTAGACGACAACAGAAACCAAAATGACCGAGCTGAACAATGTTTACAGAAAAGACAGCAAAGATGGTGGGTGAGTTTATCATTTAGCAGAACACGAGCATTACTAGAAGGGAACCTGATGTTAAGCCAAACCCGGTGATCTCTGCACCTCACTGGCTCTTGATGTTCTGTATGATCTGTTGTTGCACTGATGTAATGGTCATGGGTATAAAGAGGATTACCACAGATTCACTCTTCTTCTCCGGAGGATCCATCCCTTCAAGCGCTGAGTGACTCACTCTCAGGTGGCTCCTCTTTTGACTTAGAACCTGCTTTAGTTCTGCATGGAGTTTCTCCTTCTGAACCTGAAACAAAGTTGTGAGATATCTAAATGTCTCTTGTCAACGTGCAGATTTTTTTTTGTACAAACCACAAGAACATTCTTCAAAACACGCAGAATTTTACTGAAATTACTGGTGTCTCACATGCAGCCATTATCTTTGACTTCAAATCTGTCAATAATAATCTTCAGATTGTTTGCCTGTAGCAGCTTTCAACTCTAGTCATGCATAGTTTGGTGTTTCCTGGCCTAAAACACCTCCTCCAACTAATCAACTCGTTAATAAGTGCTGCTAGAGGTGAGTCAGGTATGAGGCGGGGCAATCTAAAATATGCAGAACATGAGTTCTCCAGGTCCAGGGTTGGAAACCACTGGGCTATCTATTGTGATGATGCCATGAGTGCTTCTGTTGAATTGTTCTCTTGTACTATATTGCTGTACTCTATTGCTGGTACAGCCCAGATGAAGGTGGGTTCTCCTTTTGTGTTTTGGTTCCTCTCAGACGTTCCTCATCATGCTCTTATGGAGTTTTTCCTTTTGAGTCTGGGCTCCCTTCGGTGTTTTTTCTCATGATTTTAGTGTTTTTTTTTGGTTTCTCTCACTGTTTCCTCCTCATGCTCAGTATCAGGGAGTTGTTGGTGGTGCTCATATGTGAAGCTGCATCCACACTTCTGGATTAAAGCTGGTTGAAATTGAAATTACAGTTAAAATTGTAATTGGTACTCACAACTCTTTCGGGACTGTCCTGCTCGTCTGGAGAGATGCAGTGGTGCTGGCTGAGCTGAGGGGCAGAGGGAGGCCTGTTTGAGGGAGGGGACCTCTTTTTATCTTTTAACTGCTCAAAGACACACAAATGAAGAAACACAATACAAGATTAGACCAGTTCTGTCTCTGAAGATTACAAGCCAGTCTGTTTTGTTCCAGTTCATGAGCCGTCACATTTGCAGTCTTGCAGCCTTTATTTGTGCATCACTGTGGTGGTCACAGGGCTGTACGATGTCCTGTTTCTCCTTCTGGCAGGAACCACATGGATTCAGCGTTGTACTGTTACCCAATTTTTTAATGATACAAGTAACGGCCAATCAGAGTAGACTGGTTTGTTTACAACTGTTTGCAGAAGAAGATATTTCAGTGTAAACAAAGTGGTTTGATGTGAAATTCTACATTCTAGAGAAACTTAACAAGTCAGATGTCTGAACAGTTTAATGCTTCTAAAAGCTCCCTTGCAGGACGTTATTACATGTTATGAATATGCTGACATTGTTTTATGAAGGTTTACAAAGGTTTTGAAATTAAACAATTTTAAAACAGATTTTATTGTAGAGGGATACATGCAGGGTGTTAAATAGTCCCCAAAGAAAATGTATTATTTCAGATTTTCCACTACTTTCCATCATCAACATTCCATATAAACTCAGAAGACTCGTGTAGGTTCACTGGTGGTTCTGGATAGTAAATAAAATGTCTATATTTGTGTTGTAGTCATGGCGACCCCTGGTTCCTATCACCACCACTGTGAAGACATCTGAACCATTTCACACCAAACCACTCTGAATCACTCTGTGTACATCGTTTACACCTTAATCACTGAATTATGAGGAACATGTTGAAAAATCGGTGGAATTTCCATTTAGAATGTATTTCATTGTTATTGCATGTTGTTGCTGAGCAGCATAATGGTTTTCATATTTGGACCCTTGATACATAAAGTAAATTAGCTAAAAGAAACAGAATGACTGATAACACCTTCACCATTAACCACTACCACCTAACAGTACTGGGAACACAGTGCAAATCGACTGTTGAATGTTAAACACTACCATATTTGAATGTGAATGGGCACTTACAGCTGGACCTTTGGCCTGTGGATGACCATGACTGTCCTCCAATTCTCTCTCTGAGTCTGAAAACACAGCAGGTCATATAATCAATTATGGGCGTCAAATATGATCTAAAATAACAATATAAGTGGAAATAAAGAAAACAGTTATGTAAATAGTATTATCCATGGGTTCAAAGCCATAAGTAATTGGACATTTACATATATTTTATTGTTTTGTGCTCCATCACATTGGTTCAGCTTTTTATTTCAAAATACAACAACAGAAAATTCAGTTTCTTGGCCAGTTGTTAGTTCATGCAAGTCTAGAGTAGATTCTGGGTGTGTCATCTGATCTGAGTCAAAACATCACAAAGCAATTATGGAACTTTTCAGGGCAATCACCAGCTAAGCAATAATAAATAATAATAATAATAATAATAATAATACGTTTTATTTATGTAGCACACTTTCAGGACAGGATCAACTCAAGGCACTTTACAGGAAATTAACAAAATAAAATTAATTAATAAAAACACGTTTAAAAGAAAAGTCTTGAGATTCTTCTTAAAAGAGATAAAGATCCAGAGTTTCCTAGAAAATCAGGAAGCTCAATCCATAATCATGAACCCAATACTCTAATAACCTTGAGCGTGGAACTACCAGCAGATTTGAGGCTCCAGACCTCTGTGAAAGTGTAGCATGAATCTGAGGAAGTCAAAGATTCTGCAAATATATGGGAGCTTGTGCATGTCAACATTTTTATGCTAGAGGTAACATTTTTAAATTCATTCTCTCTCTAAAAGGAAACCACTGCAAAGACTCAGGAGTGCTGTGAGAAAATTTCAGGTCTTGGTTAAAATACATGTAGCACAAACAATATTTCACCTAATAAAGACAAGACTGAAAACCCCCAAAACAAACATTTTGTTCCTTGGTGCCCTAAAACAGGCGTGTCAAACTGGGACCTTCAGGGCCGAAGCATTTACACTCTGAAGTCAGTTCATGAAGGCGTTGCTAATTAGCTAATGAGCTAAATCAGCTGTGTTTAATGAGGCAGTGTGCTGAAGTCTGCAGTGTTTTTGCCAGCAAGGACCGGAGCCTGACACTGTGCCCTAAAATGAGGGACTATATTAAAAACAAACCATATACAGTTCATCCAGTTTGGATGTAAATACGCTCACATTAAGGCATTGTTTCATTCTATTAAGCTGCAGTGCCAGTGTGTGATCCATACTTTAATACAGTTGACTTTAAGGATGGTTTTGACTGCCAAAACATCCATCCATCCATCATCTAAACCGCTTATCCTTCTGGGTCGCGGTGGGGTGCTGGAGCCTATCCCAGCTGTCATTGGGCGGAAGGCAGGATACACCCTGGACAGGTCGCCAGTCCATCGCAGGGCAGACAGACAGACATACACATTCACACACACACTCACACCTAGGGGCAATTTAGTGTGTCCAATCAGCCTGACTGCATGTTTTTGGACTGTGGGAGGAAACCGGAGTACCCGGAGGAAACCCACGCAGACACGGGGAGAACAGGCAAACTCCACACAGAAAGGACCCTGGTCGCCTGGCCAGGAATCGAACCCAGGCCCTTCTTGCTGTGAGGCGACAGCGCTACCCACTGCGCCACCGTGCCGCCCCTGCCAAAACATTTCCAGATCAAATGGATACTGACCATGATGCTAATCAATACAGTTAATACAAAAGCTGGTTATAATCCATCTGCTACTGACTAATCTAACCCAATTTACCCTAATCTAACAAAGAACTCTGTCAATATAACCAATAATAGCTGCACAGAAATGAAAATGTCAGGCTTGTTGACTGATGCTGGACCACATGATTTAGCATGACTAGGATTGCAAACTACATTGCTTTACACTTTTCAAATTCTTTCCATGGCTTTTCTGACCCTTAGCACATCTCTGGCCTGTAAAATTTCTCAGCCACTCTGTGTATGTGTGTATATGCTGTGCTTTGGTCTGTGGCCTGACAAAGAATGCAGTGCCCCACCCTGCTGACCACCGTGGATCAGGTTGCTATCGAGCGTTCAGGGATTCTGATGGTGTTCCCTATCTGAGTGCTTCACATTCCTCATTAGTAGACACTATCAGGTGTCTCTCCCAGCCATATGAACTCATTACTAGCATTAACAGCCCTGTGGATCAGAGAGCTGTAATATTTAATGAGTTTCACACTGTGCAACCGGTTGCATTAGCCAAACTAGCCAAACACCAGGGAGGCTAATCAAACTCTCCAAACAGCAGGAGGAACAAACCAGAAAACCAGGGAAGCTGAAAAAAAGCTAATCACCAACACCAAAGCCGAACACCATGGATGCTAACTAAACACCAGGAAAGCTAACCAAACTAATCAAACACCAGGAAAGCTAACCAAACTAATCAAACCCCATTAAAGCTAACCAAACTAACCAAATCCCAGGGAAGCTAACCAAACTAATCAAACTCCATTAAAGCTAACCAAACTAACCAAATCCCAGGGAAGCTAACCAAACTAATCGAACTCCATTAAAGCTAACCAAACTAACCAAATCCCAGGGAAGCTAACCAAACTAATCGAACTCCATTAAAGCTAACCAAACTAACCAAATCCCAGGGAAGCTAACCAAACTAATCAAACACCAGGGAAGCTAACCAAACTAACCAAATCCCAGGGAAGCTAACCAAACTAATCAAACCCCAGGGAAGCTAACCAAACTAACCAAATCCCAGGGAAGCTAACCAAACTAATCAAACACCAGGGAAGCTAACCAAACTAATCAAACACCAGGGAAGCTAACCAAACTAACCAATTTCCAGGGAAGCTAACCAAACTGATCAAATCCCAGGGAAGCTAACCAAACTAATCAAACACTAGGGAAGCTAACCAAACTAATCAAACCCCATTAAAGCTAACCAAACTAACCAAATCCCAGGGAAGCTAACCAAACTAATCAAACCCCATTAAAGCTAACCAAACTAACCAAATCCCAGGGAAGCTAACCAAACTAATCAAACCCCAGGAAAGCAAACCAGACGAACCAAACACCAGGGAAACTAACCAAACTAGCCAAACACCAGGGAAACTAATCAAACTGGCCAAACAGCAGGAAGAACAAATCAGACACCAGAGAAACTAAATAAACTAGCTAAACACCAACACCAAAGCCAAACACCAGGGATGCTAACCAAACACCAGGAAAGCTAACTAAACTAGCCAAACACCAGGGAAGCTAATCAACCTATCCTAACAGCACAGCAAACAAACCAGACATCAAAGAAGCTAAACACCATCACCAAAGCCAAACAACAGAGAAGCTAACCAAACTAACCAAACACCAATGATGCTAATCAAACCAGCCTAACCCAAGGAAAGCTAACTAAACTAACTAAACACCAGGAAAGCTAACCAGACAAGGGATCTAGCCAGAGTAGGCAAACACCACCAAGCTGAAAAAAATACTAGAAACCATTAAAAGTTTCTGTTGGTTCCTGGTGGCGTTCAATAGTCAGTAATGGTATTTTGCATTTCCCTGATGGGTTTTATATCACAGTGTAAAGGATTCTAATGGTTTGACAGGTGTTCTGATTCCAGATGTGTTTGATGGTCTCCTAATGGGATCTAAAGATGTCCAACAGGAAACTAGCAGCCTCTAATGGTAACTATTAAGCCAATTCCCATTAGAAAGCAAAACCATCAGGTTTTAATCCCAAACGTTCTAATGTTTTTTTTAGCAGGGCCGGGAGACTAGCTAAATTATCTATAGAGCAGAGAAGCAAACTAAACTAGCCAAATAACAGGGAAGCTAATAAGTTCCCTACTGAAAAAAAACAGCTTGCACACTGGTCTGAGCTGGTTTGTGCAAGTTTATGAGGTCTAGCTGGTCACCCAACATGCTCATGCTGGTTGACCAGCATACCAGCGTATGCTGGTTTTGGTGGCGATAAGTATTTGCATTGCTGCTGTCCAGCATAACATCACACAACATTGTTGGACCAAAACCTCTCATCTCCAAAAAAAGTACAAGAAAAGGAAAAAACCTTACCTTTCAATGGAATTTAATGTAACAAGATTTTATTCTGCTTCATGTTGGACTATTTCTGTTTGTCCATGTGTCGTAATATGTTGGCAGAATCTAAAGAACAGCTGGTATTTTGAAACAGTAAAAGAAGAAAAACAGCCAAAATGGAGATGGTGCTATGCTGGTCTATACTGGTCTTTCTGGCAGGGTAACCACACAAGCCAAACATTAGGAAAACTAGCCAAAGCCAAACACCAGGGAAGCTAGCTAAATTATCCAGAGAGCGAAGAAGCTAATTAAACTAGCCGAACCAGGGAAGCTAGCCAAACTAATCAAAACAGAGAAACTAACCAAACTAGACAAACAACAGAAACACAGCACTAGCAGGTGTATTTCATCTTTGTGTGCTAGCAGATCTACTTCAGTCCCTCACTCTCATAAACTCAGAACTTACACATTAGTTTTACAGTAGACACTCAATAATGTACTGAATAATCAGTCTTAAGATTAATAACTGAATAATAGGCCTGAAGTTGATGGGGTTAAACCTCACAGTGGGGGACGGGAAACCTGCTACAAACACCATTCTGTGATAAAGACCTACTTCCCTGCTGAAAAAAGACCATCAGAGCCTTTGGGATTAAATCCTGATTTTAACCTGACCTGGTTGTCCATTCCCTGATAGTAAGAGGATATCAGCGTTGGCCCGCTGATGGCAAAGCTAGCGGTCCACTGGTGTTTGGCTCAGTGTTTTCTGGGCGGCCCACCGGTGTTTAAGCAGAGCATTAGACAAAATTCCTCTGATCATCTCTCATTTTCCACTCACAGTTCAGTTTTTTCCTTCCTTCCTTTCTTTATTTATACTTTGTAAATTAGTAAATAATTTTAATCCAGCTCAGCGTCAGTAACACTTTCTATAGAATCATTTTATATCAGGTCTAGTCATTATTTATTTCTCTCTCAGTTTTTTGTAATGTCTGTCTTAGTTTATTTTCCAGAATAAAAGTCTCTGTGCAGTCTCTGGAGATTAAAAACTAGCTAGATCTTGTATA